CCCCCCCCCCTCCTCCCCAAGGGAAATCCCGCGTACGCCACTGCTGGTCGTAGACCGATTTTCCCGGAATATCTGAGTTCGGTGGAGAAACCTGAGGCTTCAAACTTATTTCGGAGAAGTCAGAGCTTTTCGGCCCGTTCTGTCGTTCTCCGAAGCGGCAAAAGATGAAGAAGCACGAAAGGAAACGCCCTAGAATGAATAAACAAGCCGAGATGCTTATGATAAACTTTTTTTAGCGCATGTATCAGCGATAAGATTCGCGTATTTCGCGTCAACCGTCATCTTGGAAAGGCACAAGCCAGAACCCAGTCAGTATACTCAGCGGCAGACTCTTATCACGCTTCCTGTTCCTGTTTTTTCTCGATAAGTGACTGTAAGTCAGTCAGTCAGCCATTCCATCCACCCACTGGCTCGGTTTCACCGGAATCAGAGATTTCAAGATTGTCTGGTTCCTCATCTTTCTGATTAATCTGAAGGACAAACGTAACTGCGCCTATTCCGGGTCCGATCACTCAGTGGAGATCGGAGCGAGGTCGTGTATCATTTTCATGAATTTCTGTCTGACGAGAAGAAATCGGGCTCATCACCAGATGGAGGTCCCTTCCAACGAGCGATTCCTCCACAAACCGAATGATTTCCAATGCACAACGAATCCGTGCGGGGCAGAAACCCCCAGCTCGTTGCACGCCAAGCCTGCGTAGCGATCAGTCTCCAATCTCGATTTCCTGCGAGTCGTCGGAGGGATACCCTCGAACACGGAAGCCAGCGGCACGGGAATGATCGTTGATCCGAATACGACGCAGGCGGATCGGGAGAAGCCATCATCACTCAGCCTCAAATCTCGCGATTATTACCATGTCTCATGGAAATTAATGAATCGGACTCGAGCTTCCTGGAATTTTCACTGTACCCACCTCGGTGAAAACGGAACCATGCCCCGAGAGGAGAGTCCGATTCTCAGTTCGAATGAACAACGAACGGGAACGCATGCCGAATGCAATCTCTCAGATTCTACAAGCCGCGGAAAAGAGAGCTGATAAAGGCTCAGGGCGGGTTGGGTTCGGGGAAAAAAGTCGAACGCACCATGTATCCTTAATCGGCTCGAAATATCGTTTCGGCAGTCGATGCCCCGCCTCACATCATATGCGAAGGATGACATGTAGCTTCAAGCTAAAGATGGCGAGCGAGACCTCCGACTTCAACGAGGTAGAGGCAATTCGGTTCCAAACGACCGATTTATGCATCCGTCGAGAGGTAGAGGTAGTAGAATGGATCCATAGCTTGATCTCGAGAGGGGCCTCTCCCGCCCGTACGAGGCCGTACTCGCTCACAGAAGCAAGCGCGCGCGCATCGACCATTCCTGATGCGGAATGTCTGATCTCACGAAGCTTCTTCTGATGACGTCCAGCGTCCTCGTGAGGAATCGCGGCCGGGAGCGTTGAAGCTCTTACGGGATAGGGCATAAAGGTAAAATAAAAAGCATAAAGGTACCCGAGTAGCCAGACCTCGGAAGGATATCTTTTACGCGTGAGGCGTAGGACGCGACTTTGCAAATTATCGGCGACGTACAAGAGACTCAGAGTCGGCGGAACTTGCTTCCTCATGGATGGCATCTCCCGGGAACAGTTGGGAAAATCATAATTATCGAGAAAGTTTCGATCCGGGCCACCTGACAAGGAGCAGGACCCAATTCGTTATCGGAATATGAATTCCTATCTCTTTCGCTCGACATACGACAACAATGAATCGTGTGACATGTCCGCTGAGGAATAAGCTGTAAAAAAAGACCCAATTTGGCTGACGCATCTCCTCAGGAGAAAAAATTCGCTCGCCAGCATTCAGGTAAGCGGCTTGAGCAAGCAGAGAGTTCACCGAAAAGCCAGTGTGCTTAGCATTCAGGCAGCCAAGAAAGGAGGCAGGAGCGTACACAGCCAGGATACGTCGTCCTGACACAAAAGCTCTCGCCCATGCTGTGCGTGCGCAGCGTCCTTCGTCTGTTCTCTCTATCCCTCCGTAGAGTCTGAACTCTTCGTGACGTCACGAGACGACGTCACGCGACGACGTCACAGAGGGTCCGTCACCAGAGCCGCTCTTCGTATCCGATCTCTTCGGCTATAAAAGGGAGAGGCTCGGAGGGCGCCAACAAACCTCTGCTCAGCTCGGCCGAGGAAGGTTCTCCGACGGTATAGACCAAACAACCGTGTGCTTGCTTGTTGGCTGGTGAACGCAGCTGATCGCAGTGTCGTTGCTTTATGAACACTTGTTGCCAACTGTCAATACTTACTAACGGACTAGACCAACCTTCCACCGGTGTCACCGGTAAGTGTCTCCTGGTTGTCGTGCTATTCAAATCATTCTTGAGCCAGCTCTGCTCTTTCCCATGCTTTCGAGATGCGCTTGAATCTCTAAATCTCTTTGTTTGACGTAAGAGTCTTTGGTGGGCTATCGAGTGTCACTCGTGCACTAGTCCACGGCACTGGCATCTACCGTAGTCTACGAGAGAGCTCGTGAGCGATATCCGCTGGTTTGCAATCGGTCGCTCGGACAAGCTTTCCAGCCTGAGATCGAATCCATCACGGCTGTGAGCCGAGTGTCCTGCATTACCCCTTCTGATCATCGATATGTGTTGCCCTCCAATCCGCAGGGAGCCTCACGCGGTCGGCAGATATGGTAACGATCCTTTACGTACCGCTCGAAGTGATAATTGCTCCTTGCGCCTGATCTGAGACCGTGTTGTGTCTACGAGTTGCGATACACGCATTCGCTAGCAAGCTAGCGCCGATCGAGCTCAACGAGGGGCGACCGCCCCCTCGCGTATGAGTCAACGATTCAGGTTGGCTCGAGGATCGAACTCCTTGGATTGCGGCCAGTAGCCCCAGGCGCAAAATTTGCTGTGACTGACCTTGGATCGGACCGTCACAGAGAAGAGTGCATGCAGCTAGCCAACTGCACCTATCCACCCAGCGATGATAAGGCCAGCAATCAATGCGGCCTTCAACGCCGAATTTCGATTCGGACTCCGGGAAAGGCAACTCTCTGAGTGCCGCGTGTACGTTGCTGGTATTTCGGGGATGTCGAATATCCCTCGCAATGCACTCGTGGATTCGAGATGTCTGAGATGATGCATTCGGATTCGACGTATTTCCTTTGCCAACAATCGTGCTTTCGTAGGGGTCGTTCCTACCGGAAATCGAACGATGCGAGTTCTCGCTTGGCCGATGTCGGCTGTCATCACAGAGTCTCTAATCTGCTCCATGCGAGCAAATCTTCCGGGTTCCAATGAGCTAATGCCGAAGAGCCGAAACCGACCGGTGACCGACGAGCTGTCTGGATCCGGCCCTTCGACTGCGCACGGCAGCGTTCCCCGCTGCATTCATCACACCAGGGGAAAGAAACGAGTGGCGCGTGCGGACGCCGGATCTGTCAAAAATTCACTCGTTCAGTGTTTTGACGGAAGCGGTCGAGTTGTCGATAATCTCGGAAACCTACTTCCTCGACAACAGTATAATTATAGCGAGTCTTGGCTCGGAAGGAAACCTTCAAGAACTGTTGCCTTCCTCCGACGTGTTCTGGGTCTCTCGTGCGGGGAGCGATTTCTTGCTTGGCGTGTACGTCGGCGCTGAGGAACGCCCGTCCATGACCTGAGTCGACTCCTCCGCGAGCAGGCGAGCAGGCAGGTAGGTAGGTATGCAAGTGAGCAGTCAGGAAAGCAGCTATTCCGTTAGCTGTTCAATGGCCATTTTGCGCAACACATCAGACAAGCGGTCCTCTCTTTGGCAACGAACGGCCTTCGGCGACCTTGAGCGCCTAGTTCGAAGCGCACCGCCCTCGCCAACTGCAGTCTATATCGTCGTCGTCCGTTATACGTTGGGGAGCGTGCCGTGTAGCGTCGAAGCTGGCTGGAGTCCGGTCACGGCACGCAACGCACGATCGTCAGCTTCGAACACTCCTCATAGAACGCCAAACCACACCCCCACTCACGGCCGAACTCTCCCTCGAAGCCTCACGAACGCCTCCATTCGAAGCCCCCGATCGGGGAAGTTGAGTCAGTCAGACGGACAGACAGCCTTGTTCGACTTTGTCTTATGACAATTCGAGTGTGGATTGGCCATCGGCAGTTTCGCATCGTTTCCTGACCGTCCACAGTCCTCCTCCCTGCGTTCGTATTCCTCATACTGGTATCCTGGTGCACTCCAGATTCCAACCTCCCGATTTCTTGGTCGTTAGATCTAAAAGCTTATCGAATAATCCTCCAAATCTCAAGGAAAATGCGCACGTGGTTGCCATCACAGCTGCTAGCGCAGAAGCCTCCATCTTTGCGGAGTACACGTGCATCTGCTTCATCTGTAGGGGGTATAATGACGTAGTTTTTGACGTCACACATTGACGTCATCAGACTTCTTCCGCGCCGTTCCCCTCCCATCGTCGTCCTCGACGTCCTTGAGGCAGAGGAGCCTGCACTGCAGAAATAGCCTTGCGAGGTTGAGGCGAAAGGGGGAAACTCGCTTCCAAGACTCACTCCAGCGATTACATCTAACGATCTGACGGGGGTAAAGGGAAAACCTCAATGGCCTGGACGGTGGGAATGCGTTCAGGGACATGTTGCCCAAGCTTTACCTTCGGCTCATCTAGATCTGGATAAACACGTCACAATAAACTCCGAAAAGAGGAGGTGCAACTCTTTCCCGGGAAAGGAGATGGGGAAAACTTACACCAGAAAGTCGATCTGACTTCGCGCGAAATTCTCTCGAACTTCATGGCATAGAACGAAATTCCTCTCGACCCTTTGCGCCCGCGAACACTGCAAACAGCTCGTGGAAAAATCCATTGAGATATGATTTTCTCTCCACAGATCTCTCCCGACATCAGGACCTCAGGACGGACGCGATTTTGACGTCCGTGTCCGCGAAGTCGCCGACGGCATTTTCTCATCCGTTAACGCCAGGTCGTCAAAATAGCATCTACAAGCAGAACCAACGCTCTTCCAAGGGCACAATGCTCCTTGTAGAACAGCCGCAAACGGCTGCAACGTTTGTACCCCAGTACTCTCTGACTCAACAACCGTTCTCGTGCGACTTTCTCGACGTCGAAGCCGACCTGGCGAATTTCGTCAGCGAGGAAGATCTTAGAATCAGTCACAGCGCTCTTGAGCTTCTCTCGACCGAGAGTGCTCTGTTCGACATGTTCCAAGTAAGTCGGAATACCATCTTGCACCGATGTTATCGTTTCCCCATCCCCATCTTCCCCTTTCCCGTCTTCGAAGGGCAATATTCGCCCGCAGTCTTCTCAGGATATTCTCGGTCGACGACCTTCCGCTGAGGATGCGTTTTCCGCTTTCAGGAACCTTCGAACACCAGCCAGGTGTCCTCCATCCCGGCGACCGACGCGCCCATGGCTCCTTTGACGTTGACGAATTCCGACTCGAAGTCCCATATGGACATCCAGCTCCCGAGCTTTGATGAGACCTACTCTCCAAGGTTCAGGAGGGATTGCCCGGATGGGTCTGACTTTTCTTTCAAATTCGAGGAATTGATCGCGACAAGTCCGGATATGCCCAGCTCGAGCGGGAGCCTGCCCACCGATCTCGGCTCAAGCTCTGGTTTCACAAGACCGCGTCAATCAGTTCCCGGATACAGTTCGGACAACACGTCGTTCAGTTCGTGCTCCAGTAAGGCTTCGTACAGCGGCGACACTACACCTCCTCCGGCCATGACTCCTCCTTGCGCCATGGCTAGTCCGACCTGCTCGAGGAGATCGTCGCTCGCATCTTCGACTGCCTCAATGAGTTCTCCGCTGCGGGAAACCGCGACACCGTCACGCAGGGCGTCGACCCCGAGTCCCGCGTCATCGATCTCAGGACCCATTGTGCAGCAGAAGAAAAAGTCCGCGGGATCTCTCCCGTGCGCCGTCTGTGGAGACAATGCCCTCTGTCAGCACTACGGAGTTCGAACGTGCGAAGGCTGCAAAGGCTTCTTCAAGAGGACAGTTCAGAGGAAGCAGAAATACGCCTGCATGACCGACAAGAAATGCACGATCGACAAAGAAAAGAGGAACCGATGTCAGTATTGTCGGTACGAGAAGTGTCTTGCCGTGGGAATGGATCCGGAATTCGTCCGGACGGATGATCTCAAGGGTCGTCGCGGACGTCTTCCGTCAAAACCCAAACTGCAGAGCCATGGCTCTCAATTGAACATCTCGACCGTGAGTCCCACGATTTCGGCGCCGTCTCCGCCTCCGACAAATCTCATTGGCCAGCTCGTCCACGCTCATCAGATCTCTTCGCCTGAAATGAGCAACCGGGACTTCACCAGGGTGAGTGATTCTGAGCATTCCATCAGACCGAATTATGAGTATACATCATCATTCCGCCGGAGACGTGCTGACATATGAATCTGGATGATTGTCCCTCGAAAAAGTGAATCATCATCGAGCGCCCCCGCTGACGCGCGTTTCCTTGCAGTTCCAGGAACTGAAACACAACACCGAACACGTCCCGCGAACCCCCCAGGAGGTTCAAGAGTTTTATGAGCTGCTGACGTCTTCAATCGTAGTGATTCGCAAATTCGTCGACGCTATCCCCGGCTTTCGGGAGCTTCTGCCTGAAGATCGCGAGCTTTTGTTCACTACAGCGAGTTTGGGGCTTTTCGCTCTGCGCGTTGCTTATCGTATGATGCATAGCAACCACACGGAGATCACACTGTGCAACAGTGTTGTTCTCCATAGGTCGCAAGCACAGAGAGGTTTCGGTGAATGGCTGGACAGAATTAGCGTCCTGTCCAAGAGTCTTGAGAACTTTGCCATCGACGAATCCATTCTGGCTTGTCTTGCAGCGCTGTTCGTCCTTGACGGTAAGTGACCAACGCGTTTATCGAAACCCGATCCGATTCGGATTTCTCCCCACTCCGCTCAGTTTATCCGGACCATCGTCGTCCGGGAAGGAATAAGAAGAAATAATCTTGCTCCGTTCACCGAATGGGGAATTATCCCGTACGTTCCTCCACGATCGGAAGACCTGAAGGTGGGGTTCTTCTTTGCAGCACGGGCCGGCGTCAAAGAACCCGCGAAAGTGGAACGCCTGGCCGAGGCCGTGACTAACGCGCTGCGTGAACATGTGAGCTATATTCCGCAGGGGCAGCAACGAATGCACTACTTCTCGAGCCTGTTGGCAAAAATTCCAACTGATCTGCGCAGTATCTCCGTGCAGGGCCTCCGAGGGATTTTCTACCTGATGCATGAGGAAGTGGTGCCTGCCCCACCGCTTTTGGAAAGTCTGTTCGAGCCAGACCTGCCCTACTGATGTCGCTGCAGACTCTCATTTTGAAAATGGGAACTACCTGGTTCTCCTTCTTGCTGCTGCGGTCGCCGGAGTATCCGGCGTTAACTCCGCAGAGCAATCGGAACATGCATCTAGTTTTGAATATGTCGTCAGGTTTGACCGCCTGACCACTGAAGTATTCGAAACCCATGTCCCGGGCCGCGCAATGCGCATTCGACTCGGGGAATCCGCGCGGCCTGAACGCATTGAGCTCGTCTCTGTTAGTCTGTAAGACGTCGTTGAAGGTTTCGATCCCGATTTGGAGGCGCAAGCGTCCTCCGGTTCAAGCCACCGAACCCGAACCCCAAGAAACTCTTCATAAACCGACGCGAGGCGCTGGTTCGGCGATCTCCCCTCACTCAGGAACCTTGAAGAAAAACTCTTTCTGCTGCGCCGCCCGTGGACATGGCGTAGTGAAAATACCTAATAATGCCAGAGCCGCCGGAACTCCGCCTGGACAGGCTCTCTATCCGGCGATTCCGGTCGAGTTTAGCTCAAGCTATCATAGTCACTTAGATTCGTAGTACACCGATTGCGGGGTCGCAGAGGATGCTCCTTAGGGAAGACCTTATTAGCTCGTTCGAATAACCAGTCATTAGTCGAACTAACCCCCTCAAGCAATTTGTTTCTCTTGAGTCCTTGTGGATTCTCCTTACCGCGTGCTCCATCGCGTTCGAGAGATATTTGACAACTAGTCGACCAGTCTGAAGCTTTCAGCGACGCTCGTGCATGAAGCACTCGTTTTCGGCAGCCCCTATGAGACGAGATGAATACCTAGCAGTCAGGAGCAAGAAACATATTCTCTCCACCAGAACCACTGACCGATCGGTCGTCCAATTCGTCCACTTAGGATGTAGAGGTGATTGAAGATTTAGGAATCTTTGTGAGGACCTGAATGATGTGTGTGATATCTTCTGATGGTGACTGATTGTGAGATCACGAGTGTGTATTTTTTTGGAATTTACAAACACCTAGTCTTATTGCTTGCAGAAATAGCAGAATCACGGATACTCGATAACAGAGTTTCTGCATGAATACATTAAAGCTCCAAGAGTCCATCAATACCCAAATGTACCCGTACTCGGAGCAAGAAAGTTCGATATAGGATGACACCCGACTGAAGCTGCTGCAAACAGCTGTTCACTAGCAGAGCACTGGCCACTAGACTAATCCCGTTGCTGATATGTAGGCGATTCACCTCCCTTCTTCAGCCCATGCATGGACGGTGTTTCTGTATTTGATAAATGAGTGGAATCTTATCGAGCCCTCAGCCGACGGACCTCTGATGCCATGGAAGAGGGAGAAGAGAAAAAAAAATCCGAGAAATCTTAGAGGTGATGATGCTTTCGTGTCCGGGTTAAAACTTGATAGGCCGTAAATGCAGTGGGCGGATCTTGGTCCGGATGAACGACCAGTGCTGTCGACCTACGATAGAGCAATCATATCCTCCTCGAAAAGCTCTAGCCCAAGACTATTTATTCTACATTATTCTCTAGACTTTCATCGAGCTCAGAGTCAAATGACACTATTGATTGTTGAACACCACTGATACTGATTTTATCTAGCGTATTTTAACTATTGACCACGTTATGACTGTCGAGCTCTGCTCCAGTTTGCCATATTAACCAGTTGACGCTGCTACTGATTAAGCTGGAAGGATACAGGTTTGTAGGGTGATTTATCGAAGAATCCTCAGATCTGACTCGATCAGAGCATAGTTTTGACAACAGAAATCCCTCAACATTGGATTTTGACCCACTGTTAGCTCCCATGGTTGATGGAATTGTTTACATTTTTAATATTGGATAGTTTGCACTGGAATCATTGTACGAGTTGCACAAGAAACCTCTATCACATTTGCTGAATAAAATTTGCGTGTTAACCCAACATCGTCTCTTCTGTGTCAGTCAGGAGTCACGAGCCACCATTGAAGCTCCGGATGAGCCTATTGATCGCATTTCGAATGGTCGTTTCAGGGTCTCCGACGGGCATATCCCTCCGCCGCATCTATGATACCGCTTTTGCGAGAGGATGCTCCCTAGCAGAAGTATGCAACTCCTCTGGCTCTTTTCCGGAGGGAAGACACTGAGTCATCGATGCCACAGGACTTTGGAAATGAGAGATCAGTGTGTAGTCCGATGATTCTTGCCCCAGTCATGCCTCAGGCTGGTCCCAATCGATGATGATTTGCACTTTGCGCCGTTGCACTTGATCCTGTGGTGAATCATCGGAAATCGGGCAACGCCTCTAACCCCAAAGAGAGTCCTTGAGGGGCCCTCGATGAGTGTTTATGCGCTGGTGAATCGTATGATCCTAGAAACGAAGGCTCTTGCACATTGCTTCATTGTACCTGTCCGCGAGAGAGGAGGAGAGACTATATCAAGGGGAAGCTCAGCTGAATAAGTCGAAAACATAGGCTGGTAGCGCTCCGTGCCCGCTCAAATCCCGCGGGCGTTCTGGAGCGAGTAGCCATCACTGATCCGCCAGGGTCCGGAACTTCACCGACTGATTGACTCGGACGATACCGACGGGTGGTCGAGTGGTTAGCGCGCTTGTCACTCCTCGTGCAAACGTGCATAGCCGCAACGACGCCGCTCGCGCGGGAGGCGGTGTGGGTTCGATCCCTGCTGCCGGAAAAATATGCAGGTACTCGGCCTTGATCCTCCTGGGTACATTTGCTCTATGGATCCGTCCTCGGAAGCAATGTGAATAACAGTACCCGGGACGTTAAACCTTGGCTGTGTGGATCAGCCCGAAAAAGTTTTGATTGACTCGGACGGAAGCTACTGGAGGGGCAGTGGATTGTCGTTTTCCGACGTGGAGATCGCATCGAAATTTCAGAGTCCGTCGCTCCCAGCAGCCATGGGACATTGGAGAATCATGCTTCCTACTATTTACGGATTGGGAGGGACCTGATGAGCCTGGGCGCGCTCGGCTCGGAGCTTCAATTCGTTGCAGTCACCAAAAACAGACGATATCCTCGTCCGATGATGTGCTAGGCAGGGAGCCTCTGTTCTCAGGGAAGGTTTCCCTTAGATTTTACTTGGGTCCACAGATATCGTCCCGGGCTTGATCCAGATGAGCTATTTCCCGGAATGTACGAATGTACGAAGGTACGAATCGAAATGGAGCATTGCTGAGCAGCAAAGAGTCGGAATGAAGGGAACATCGGGCGGCTCCCTCCCGAGGAAAGGTGAGTGACCAAACCCGCTGGTGAGCATCGTCGAAGCTTCAGCATAACTCGTTAATCTAATCTCGTGCGCTCTGTGTGTAGATATGTTGTCAGCCTCAGACGGGGCTCTGAACAACTCGATCGAGTTGAGGGAAGCGGACGCCAGCAGCGAAGATCGGCCGTCGAGTCCATTCGAAAAGGGACGAGAGACGGGCTGTCTTTCGGTGGGAGAAGTGACAAGTCCCCTGAAGCCTGAAGAATAACCTTGCGAATACCCTAGCGGGAAGGGAGGGAGCTGGACGGCGATCGATGCTCGCTAACCCCACGATCGGATTGTGGCACGAGATGGATATACGCAGGATAGAAGAATTAGCTATGGCAGGAAGGATTATCCAGTGAAAAGATCAGATTCATCTCTCTCGCTGAAGTCCGTCATCCATCCTCTGCAGGAGGTGTCATCTTCTCATTCCCATGAGAACACCATTGATCGCGATTCACGCATCGAAAGCGGCGAATTTTCGAAGTACCGCTGTCGAAGGATCGTCTCGTATGGCCTCAGACGAATTTTTCCTCAAGCGGACGCGGCCGCCTCGAGTTCCGGTGGATGAAGGTATGACCGAAGGAAGGGTCATCGAACGGGGAACTTCCGACTCGCTCTGTGATTGACTGCCCCATCGAACAAGCAGGGTCACTCAAAATCGAGGCTCGAATGGATCCCCATAATCTATCATAAGACCTGATTATAGATCTCCCGATTGTACTCCATGAAAATCATCCCATTAGGTCACTACCATGACCACCTCTGTCCGGGCGACACTTACATCATGGCGTCCTCTATTGCGACCTAGATTGAGCATTCCGTTGCGTTGAAGAAACGGATTACGCTGGCTTTCGCTTCCCGACAGCCTCTTGAGAAAATTGAGCCGTCTCACCTAGATCTCGACTCCGCAGTTGAGCACCGATAGGAGCTGGCGAAGCGGACTGACTGGTCATCGCACCGCCTATTGTCTTTTGACCGGAGCGCATCTCGACGGGTGTCTTCCGGAGAACTCTCATTGCCCGATGCAAAACTCTCCGAGGGAAAGCTGCAGATTCTTCTGCGGGGCTCCACGACAACCCTGGATTCGCATCGAGATAGCCTCGATCTCGACCCGATATCCGGCTCTAATGCAACGTGATGAACGCAATCCACTAGGGTAGGGGCTGACTAATGTTCATGATCAGGGATGCTGTCATCAAGGTGATCACCAATCGCATGTTCCCTACTTAATCAGCCATATCGTTCCGTGGAATTTCAGAGAGTAGCCTCGCGGGATGGCCAAATGCTCGGGATTCCCCTCCTATGAGCCGAGATTGCAGACCGCTGCTGGAGGCCGTGATGCGTTTGCAAACTGTGAGGCTGCTTGGCATCCCTCTCCGTGGATGAAGTCTTCCAATCAATAGTCATTTCCTCCATTATGTGTTTATTCTTCCGAGACCTCCATGGTGATTCGCATCTCACCTCGAGTTTCACCTTCGGTATAGAGATTGAGCGGCCATTCAATTCTCGGCTATCACCAAACACCTAAGTGTTGATAAGAACCTTGCCGCTTGAACGGTAAACTCATTTGCAGATTGCTAAGGTTGATTCCTAGAAGTCATTCGATAGTTTGAAAATGAATACCTCTGATCGATTCAAGTTCGATTGGACCCTCTAGCCTTAGCCCGACTATCAATTATTCATCCGACGTTCCCCGCAGAGATCCGCACCCTCAAGAAAGAACTCCTTGCCTACCCATCTTGACGAAAGCTTCGTTGGCAAACTTGGTTTTTGTCTTCTCGGCTCTATCATCCCACGAGGGAAGCCTCCGGATGCAATGGTAGGGAACAGGAGCTTCATACCGGCGTGGGAGAGATCCGGAGGACAGCCTCAAGGAAAGAACCGAGCAGAAAGTGAGGAACAAGCCCTCTCATAGCGCAAGATAAAACGGTAACAAAAGCTCATCCAGTAATCTCTGTTCCAAAAGGTCGAATGAGCGCTGAAATGTTTTTAAATCACGAGAGGAGTGAGATGGCAGCGCCGGCCTGTCGTGAGCAAGTGATGAATCTGTATTAAGCTGAATCCTCCTGCGTCACTCATCGGGCGGCCGGAGTCATCCGGTCCGGATTTTCTGCAAGGCGAGTGTACGATCTGGCTGTATTTGCCGTCAATTCAGACGTATCTGCTGACAGGAATTTCACGCAGGAGAGTTCTCGCTCTAGGGTTATTGCCAAGAGATTCTAAAAAGGCGCAAATTTGAATGAGAGATTCTATAAACAAGAGCTACCGTGGTCAGTCCACGTTTGCTTCACTCGCATCAGCAGCTAAGAGAGCTGAGAGCGAGACTCTCTCCGCCTCAAGTCCCGGACGTCAATGCCTCATTCTCTATGAAAGCAGGATCAAGTGGATTTCATATCCGTGAACAGAAATGTCGAGATAAGAATTCTCGCCTTGAGAACTCCATGAGGTCCGACTCTTCTTTCCCATCGCATTCCGACATTCCTGAGGCAAACTCGACATGTAACGACGTGGATTTTTCCGCCAGCTCACGGCGAGGTTTCCATAACGCATCGGGTCGCGTAGATTGCGTCTTCATAATATTGAATCCTCTCTCTTCAGGCACAATGATCCGGAAGAAGGCCGCTCTGGTCTTCCTGGCGCTATTCGGGATAGTTATCATCACCCAGAACCTCCGCGCCGAAGTTTCCGAGGCAAGATCCGGGACTCGGATGGCTGATATGGAATCCAAGACGAGGAATGAAGAAAAATTAGCTCTCAAAAGAATACACGAAATCAGTCGGAGAAACGCGGCTAGGAAAAACAAGGAGCGATTGGCTGCATTCAGGCGCAGGAACAGCTCCGATCATGAGGATACCCCCCTGATTTTCATCGTCACCCCAACGTACCCTCGCCCCGCGCAGCTCGCCGACATGACGCGTCTCTGCAATACCCTCATGAATGTTCCGGACATTCATTGGATTGTCGCAGAAGACTTCGACAAGGAAAACCCCAGACTCCGGGAGCTCCTCGATTTCTGTGGCGTTCCTTTCACGTTTCTCAACGCTCGGACGCCGTGGATATTCAGATATGGCAAAGTTTTCGGCCGAGGTGTGTTTAATCGGAACGCAGCTCTCGCGTGGATCCGGCGAGAATCGGCAGCAATCCGAGGAGATCGTCCATCGGTGGTGTATTTCGCCGATGATGACAATGCCTACGATATTCGTCTCTTCGGGGAGATTCGAAAAACGAAGAAGATCTCCATGTTCCCGGTCGGATGCATTTCGGGAACCGGAGTGTCGACGCCGATTGTTCACAGGAACGGCTCTTTGCTTGGTTTCCACGATAATTTCTACAAGGAGCGGATTTATCCCATCGACATGGCCGGGTTTGCCGTGAACACCGATCTCATTCTCAATTCCACAGCTGAATTCGAGAGGAAAACAGGCTATTTGGAAGATCACTTCCTTCGGGACCTTCAATTTCACAACGGGGAAATCGAATTTCTAGCCGATAATTGTACTCGGATCTTAGTCTGGCACGTTAGGACGGAACCAGCGGATCCCATAGTGTCGGAGAAGGTGATCAGTTCCCTGCAGCCCTTGATCGAAGACTCGAATCTCTCGGAACTTTTCGAAAACTATGCAGTCAATTGAATGCTCTCGGTCCCGCTCTCGTGCGACATAATTCTACAAGCGAGAGATAACTCTCGGAAGCGCTCGAAGCCTTGACTACAGTCAGTGCTACTCGTACGAGCAAGCAGGCGCTTAACACCGGCGGAAAGATCCTGCGACGCTTCGAGAAGACCGTGTTCAAGCACTTGAAACCATCCAGCGTATATGTTCACGAAGGATGCAGGAAAGGCATTTTGCCCTTTCTGTTTCATAGCATACCAAGGCTGCGGGAGAGGGGGCGAGCTCAGGGCAACATTCGCATTTCACCCAAACTTCATTTTCCGAATTCGCAACTGGGATCACTTCGCGCCCCTCGTCATAAGTGATCAGTGATCATCAATTGCGTTCCCTATAGACAAATTCCTCAATGCTCACCAGAACTCGTTCCTCTTCTCGTATGCTAGGCCCAGAGCTATCCGGCAGCCTCGCTTGTCTGCTGGGTCTAGTCATTTAGGTTTCTCATTTTGTTCCTGAACTCACATGATTTCGACCTCCCTCATACGATCGAACGGTGGCATATTCCGGGAGAGTCAGTCACCGAGGAGCAAATCGTGGAGAGCGTTTCTTCGTGGTAGGATAACATTTTTTATTGCCCCACTACAATATACTGTACAGATATGATGTCATTTAGTCAACTGCATCGGAGTAAAAATATCCTTCCGACGGGACCCAGAGCTTCATAGAGTGCACCACCAGCTGTCTCTGGATTGGCATAATTTGCTGTGTAATGAGAGCGCCAGACAAGCGACAATCAGAGCGCATATAATGATGTTGATGAATTGCTGTCTCTCGCATTGAGCGGTGAGCAGGGCCACCTACAAATAAAGATTGTTTCAGCCCAAATTCCACGCTTCGATTGTCCAAATATTGAGTGATAGCCTTTCAACGTCTTTACCCGTTCTTCGAAATGATTGGCATTCCTCGTCGACCACTGTAAGCCGTTCTCACTAGTCGAATACGCGAAGTCAGCCTCGTCTGCGTCGTCAAGAGGTTGCTCACAGAATATTTTCTGCTCATGTACTTGACTCCGATCAAGTTTCTTGAAAACATCCAAGATTTGCGGCTGCGGATGGTCAACCGGAACAGCCTGAATGAGCAGCTTGTCGCTTCTTGTTGAGAGATACTCTGGAGAAAGGAGAAAGCAAAATTCAATGTCTGTAAGTTTACATAGATGAGTGGGGAACAGGACCGGATCATGGAAGCGAGAATGAATCAGACACCTTTAAGCTTGATTATGGAGATTCGGGCCGCCTTCTGGGACTCGATAGTTCCAGAATGCGGCAGCGCGGTGTATCCCTCGCGACGATTTGTCCTGATCCTGAAAGCAATCGTCCGACCGTCCGTGGAGCAGTTCGTTACATTCAAGTAAGCGATTTGGTTCCCGTTGATTGTCTCGAAGGACAAGCAGCTGTCAGGACTGAAAGAAGGATACGTATTAGGGATTCGGAATCTCAGAATTAAGCTGGAATTATCTCGTCAGCCCCGGAGCGTCCTTCGAGCCCTATCGATTCGGGTCGCAGGGGGAGCCGCGAGATTCTGATCCGAATCAGAATTCCCCGAGAAGAAGTAGAAAGGTTTCGTATTCTTGCGGAGTCGAGCTCCGATGCCGCTCACATGCAAGAGAAGATACGCTTGTGACTCCCGGAGTCTGCCGAGCCCGCGAAGAGACCAAAGTTCTCTCGGTAGAACCTTGTGATTGCTGGAGTCGTGCAGATTCGTTTCTCCTGAATAGCGAGGAAATACTCTTTAGGACGTCTTCAACGTCTCGACACGCTGACCCGTCCGAGCTACAAAAATCCCCGAGATCTTACAATGTTGTTGTCTACGGGTATGGCTTCAATTTCCTCCGGCGATAGCTCTTTGAAGGGCATGCGCACGGTGCCGCCCATGAAGTCAGGCAGATTGTCTCTGTCGATATATTCGAAGATATCGTCTCCATTGCAGAACTTAAATCGGTCCGCACCGTCTGCGGGAATCAGGGATCGGATTCCGGACCATACGGCTGGAAAATAACAGGCGAGAAGATCAGATTAATCGATCCCACAATTCGTCCTTGGAAGGGGCGGAGCGCTATCGACATCGCGTCAATGTGCTTGGGGGGTCATAAGTACCCTACTTTTCAAAATCCAGGGCATGTTGTACACGATCACGTATCCCAACGCCCAAGGATAGTACTCATTGAAAATCTGAATGGTGAACATGATTTGTTCCAAGTCCTGCGGGGAGAGGGATGCAGGATGAGTGATGTGATCATTCGTATATCCCCAATAATTATAGCAGAACAGACATGAGTAGCGAGCGAATTCATATAGGTTATATTCGTTCATATGAACGGTGATGCGAGACATATTGGTTCAGCAATAAAGGTTGAGCCATACCATGCTACTGTACGACGCGTCGGTGCTATCGAAAATGAAGGTCATTCGCGGGTTGTTCTGTTCGTACAGGAGTTTTTCGACCCAGAAAATCATGAATCTTTTCATGTCGTGCGACCGAGCGGCGTTTTTCCGATGAAGTCTCGTACGGAAGATTACTGAAATGAGTATCCACCGTTAATCAGCCAGAGCCATTCGATAAAAGAGAACCTATCAGCGAGATTTCGAATCGATGGTTCGAACTTACTGCATTGACTGCCCTCTCTGTCTTTTTTGAACGGTATGAAGCAGCCGACATTGAGATACAATCTGTAGATATTCGACTCGGAGATCCCTGAAAGTTTCTCTTCGATTCCTAAATCTATTCGCGTCGGGCGAATTCGCGGGAATCGAAGGAAGGTTAGATACTCTCAGGGGCTTGTCAGCGAATGTCTCAGTTCATACAATCGGATCTATATTCCATAGGCGAACGAGGCCTTATCGCGATACAATCGGAAGATAAGGAGAGGAACGAATCGCATCCATAACACTTCACCAATAGCGTAGCCGTCACCTGAGACGATTAAGGATTACGTTGCCTTCAAAGTCGGTACTTTTAGCGACAAAGTTAATTGGGCTCTCAAAAGAAACCAACTAGCACCTGAAGTACAAAACCTTCCCAACCCGACTCTCACAAATGTTAGAACATTGGAGAAAACGAATAAGAATCAGAAAATATTTCGTGTTATTTTCTGCCGACGGTCCTCACCGTTGACTCCGAATTCGTTCCGCCATTGCAAGCTTTTCTTCGCCATCTCGACGGCCGCGGTGATATCTCGTCGTTTATGTCTCACGTATCTAAGAGAAAATCGTTTGTATCAGAGCGAAAACCATGGGGTTTGATAAATTAAGCACACGCAGAAGGTTGCGTGTACTGCATTGGATATCGAAGCTGTTTGTGTTGATGTTTGCGAAAAGCAACACGCTGAAGCCCCACTGGCGGCGGACCAGACCAGATCCAGACGGAGTTTCAAAACCCTTCGGGTCGTAGACAGTCGGCTGCCCGCCGGAAAATTATCACGGGTTGCACAAGGGTGCCGAAGATACAAAAAATAGCTCGCCGATAAACAAAGCTTCCTCGCACCGACTTAACTAAGGCAATCCATATCGTTTACGATGAAAAAGCATCGCCCAGTTCCAGCGGAATGAAATTCGGGAGGGAACATCGCTAGAATCAATGTTTTCGACAGATGGGGAAAAGGATCTGACGAGAGATTCCCGAGAAAACGTTCGGCATGCTAGGAAAATTCGTCTGACAGTCCGAACCATTCCCCCTGATACGAAAGCCCGGCGAAGGTAATCAGGAAAAGGAGAAACTATTTTGTCGCTATGTATTGTATTCCCGGTATACTCACCGGCGGCAAATCTCATAATTGCTTTTTATCGTGTCCACATCCTTGGGATGATATAGCTCTGGGGAGGTGTGAAATTTTCATTAGACCGAGAAGTTCGGCAGAATTATTACCGCAATCAGCGATCTATTTTTCAGCGAGAGTAGACAGGTATGGTTCTCCCTGATGAATATGCCTGCAGCGCGCCGAACAGTCCGAACAAAACGTTGCAGTCAGACCGCGGAATCGTTGCTTAGCTGAAGATGTAGGGCAATGTCATTGACTGAGGGCGGCCGGTTGGTCTGCCTCTGTCCCCGCCAATAGAATGAGCAAGGGGATGGACATAAGTCCATCCATCGCAGTCAGAGCGAAAGCTCAAGACATAGCACGCAAGTCCTCTTTCAGTATCCCAATCTTCATTCAGTCGTTGGATTTTCCACGCAGAGAGGGTTGATGGCACGATCGAAAATTTGCCCCATAATCGCTCAATTTTCGGAATGTAAGTTTCCGGGTGGAATACTAACCGGGAATCATGTGGATCTCGTCCAGAAGCTTCGCACGAAAAGTAGCCACATCGGAATCTGTCACGACGAGTCTCCCCATGATTCTCTACGGAAACGGAGCCCCGACGAAAAATCTCTCTCCGGTCGGGAAAACTTCCCCCGGGGACTTTGGAGTCCCTCCGAGATATTCAGGAGCGTCTTATCCGACAGGAACACTGAGCACGGCCAGTGTTCAGACACGACCAACAAGGAGTTCGAAGGCACAAAAGCACCGCGTCCACGATTCGCAGCCGTCCGGGCAGGCTTCGGAACCGTTCTGATTCTGCCGTCCACGCCACCGGGCTCCACGAGGGAAAGAGGGATCGACCCGCGCTCACCGAAACACAACAAGAAATGGAATGGCAATAAACGGACAATGTTCAAAACAAGACCAAATCGTCTGGAAACTCGAGGGAAATCAATATTCATGGACATTTGTCTTTAAACTACAAGTTGCGTGACGTACAGAGACTTTCTCTCGTCGAAGTCAGGGATATCACGCCAATCTTCCGATGTCAGATGAACTTGCAAGCGTCCACATTTGTCCATCGCGCCAATCCACGCAAAACTATCATGTGGAGCACCTTCGCCCCACGAAGCGAAGAATATCGCATCGGCCGCAAGCGTGTCATGTGACGGGGGGAAATATAGTCCATAAGGCGGACGAAACCAAACAGAATGCTGAAAGAGAGAAAAAACTCACGAGCGTTGACCGCTACTTCCTCAAGGACTTGCTTCCTAAAATCCGCGACATCCTCTTCGGTGACAACGAATTCATTTTCCCCAAACGGATCGTCGTCGGCAGACCGAGCCATTCCAAGCCGCTTTAGAGACTCCTGAAATTCATTAGAATCGTTCCATCAGCCCAAGGTAAAATCTTTTTCAATCAATCTCTGGAAAGTTTCGCTCGTCCCTCGCACTCTCCGCTTCCATTGTCAGACAGGGAACTTGAAGGCACCGAAGGATCGAGCTAAGCGGTCTCCGGAGTAAAAAGTTTCAGCAAGTTTTTGACCGATGTTTTCCACCACTCGCTGCTAGGTTCAGCCTCGTGTATATAGACGCAAGCGCCTCATTGATCGTTGACGGTCGAGATGCCTCACTGACGTGGACCCGCCAGTTGTGGGTCATACCCTCTACTAGACACTATGTTTCTATCTTGAGGAGCAGCAGCGCTGGATTTTCTGCCTCCGAAGAGTGACATGAAAAGATCGAGATGGACCGGCTTCAAATGTCTGTATCGGTGAAGATCATCACCGCGAGGTGAGTGCGCCCATCTCCGCACCGAAGTGAATACGGAATTATGGGATCCCAGCACAGGAATCCTAACCACCGCACTTCAAGGTAGCCGGTCCTCCTACGATTCCGGAGCTACAGAATGTTCTCCGAGCTGAGTCGATTGGATCAGATGACATCGGGGATATCATTACAGAAGACATTCGGAAACGACTTCCAGCCGTCAGACGAATTTGACGCTCGATACAACATTCCTCGGTTAAGCGATCAAACCTCAAGGATAAGCCGCTGGAGGGAAGAGGTTTTCTGTCTGGGTATGCTCAACTTTAAGATAATTGACCGCCGAGTGTATTCAGGGGGCTCCGACGGATCGTACTCCGTTCTGAGCTAAATGAACATCGACTTCCCGGTCGGGGCTTCGGGGATATTCCTCTCACGCTGTATGTAGCAGACTTCTGTCGTCCAGCTTCTGATGTCCGGAAAACCATTCAAACACAGAGCCGACACCTGAGACCAAGGAGGAAGTTCCCGCTCTAAGCTCGACTCCGACCCAGGAAATTCGCACTAAGCACTCCCGCGGAGACGGCGCCAGTGTCGGGAGCATTCTCTGCGCTGAGGAGTCTCTCAGGCTATTCGTTCCGAGTAGATGATGTGTCATGGAAGAGTCTTCTCCCGCAAACAGGTTTCAGTGCTCCTCGGCGTTGCGGATTGAGCTCCGGGGAGGGAACAGCATTGGCGGAGTTTCAGTCCTGAATACTCACCGCAGTGCACTAGAGAACACTATGATGATACGGATACGCGGTGAACTCGGGAAATCTCCACGCTTGTCACGGTTTGATAGAACGTTCGGTATGCAGTGCTTCTCCTCCTTCTCAGACTGACTGAACCCGTGGAGAGGAGGGAGCACCGGGACACAGTTTTGCGCCGCTTGGGAGCGCCATCTAGCGGTCTACAAATGAAGCCTGGGAAAAACGAGCGATCGCATGTTTCAACACGGGAGTCATAATCATGGGCGAGGAGGGAATCGTCGGTGCAATTCTCTTTTATTCAATGCTTCGATTTCCTCATCGAGGAGGGTGCTCAGTCTTGCGCTTCGGAAGCAGGAAAAACGGCGGCATTTGCTTCCCTGGTGTCAGAACGATCGAGAAGCCTCTCCCGCACTCCGGATCTCGCGGATTCGGGTCTCTCTCCGCTCGGAAGGGTGGGTTCCCACGCCCGGAAGCTAGACATATCTTGCCTCCTTCTCCGTTCTGGGCTGTGGCCTTCAAGTGATTTATTGACGCTGTTTCTATGCTGATCTCAGCGAAGAATTCACGCAGCTCTTGAAGGATCGTATCGACTTTCCTCTACAGGAATCCCTCGCCTCCCTTCCTTGTTTCGCCGGTCGAGAATGCTACGAAATCGTCTTCGGCTATCAGATAACCCGACGGAAGCATCAAAATATGCGTCGCGAGTTCTATGTTAGAGCGGGAGGATCCCCGAGCTGCCAACTAATTATCTTGACAGAATTCGACACCGAGTTGTTCTTCCTTTGGGAGCTTTGGAGTCTTTAAGGTGGCATCGTTTGGAGTCTTCATCGCTTTGTCACACCATGTGAATCTGACTGCGCGAATTCATTCAGATCCTCAATGTCCGGCCTTCAGATGAAAAGGCGAGAAACTGCTCCCCTCCAGCGATCGAAGGTCTCCGAATCTGACTCGCATCCCGCCTCTTCTGCGCCGTTGGGCCCGCTCATTCCGCTCTGAGCCGGAAGCGCAACCGAATGTTTACAACAAAGCCGAGTTCAAGAATTCATCAAGCGCCTTCCCCTTTGCATTGTCGATCCTGGGGCTCACGCGGGTTCGGAAAGCGAGAATCATATATCTCGCGGAGAATCTGGAAAGAATTCCATGTTTCCTTCCTCAACAGGGAATCTATTCACAAGAGCATTTATTCTGAAAAATATATCACATCGCTTTGTCGTTGGCACATCTTTGGCTTGCGCCGATCGCAGTCAGCATCTCAAGTTAGGATTCCGGATATCTTTCCAGAGTTTCATCATTTCACTGGGCGAGATTTCATGACTTTGCAGTAACTGCCCGTACGTGCAGCCGTTGACCTGGAAGAAGAAAATTCAATCCAATCGCCGTCGGATTCTGTACAGAAGCTACTTCGGTGTTGAACCTAAGTAAGAATCGTTATACGCCCAGGGGAACCAACCTGCTTCTTCGGGAATCGGTGATTGTAGAATTCTCGGATTTTCTTCCGCTCGATACCGATTTCGTTCGCGAGGAATCCCGTTATAAAGAGGTCTTCTAAGTTTAGAATGAGAGGTTCCATCAGTAGTTTCTTGTAGAGAAGCGTCGCTGCGGTTCGGGTCACCACATAGCTGTGAGGGAAAAAAAACGTTTTAGCTGTGAGTCTTCTCGGAAACTCCCGCAGTCCCCAGCCTAGCAGCAGATATAAAAATGCGCTTGGAGCCAGTCTAGAGCCACACGACCAGTGTACGGGAAGCATCGCTACTCACCCAGCTCCCGAGACGAATTTCGGATAAGTTTTCTGGGCAAGCACTTCGTTCGGTGTGTACCATTTCGAACTACTCTTTACGTTGCGAGCTGCATTCACGAAGAGCATCCCCAATATCATTGGATCCTCCGCTCTTATGGCAACCTCTGTCTTGAGGAGATCGATATTGAACCACGAATCGTCGTCACCTACAAATCGGAAGATGGCTTCATCGAAGAGCGTGAGCGAGAGAGGGCGATCGAAGTTGCGTTCTGTGATCGCGAAACTCACCCTTAATGATATATTCCGCGGCCGGGCAGTACATGGTCACCCACCGGAGTGCGGTTATGGTGTTATAGGTCAAATTGTAGTAACCCTCCCGGAAATCTGCCTGTACGATGTCTTTGTACCTTATTGCCTCCGTCTCTAAATCCGGGTTCACGGTTTCGTTCGCGCCAAGGACGAAAACAGTCTTCAGCTGGGATCCCCAAGTTTTTCGAATCGCCTGGAATCCCGGGATGAGTGATCATTCTTCCTCTAGATACACACGTGATTTTCGGAATCGATTGCGATTTAGCTTTGAGAGTGTGATGGTTCACCTGTCGCCGGAGAAAATTTTTTCCGCCGCTCACAATGACAGCGACGTAAACATCCTCCGCCTTGCATGGGGGTGAAGCATGCAGTAATTTGAACACTGTTCGATTATAGGCGGGAATCCAGCCGACGGTCGTTCCATTGCTGAGTTTCTTCGTTTCTTGAATTAGAGCTCCCCCAGGTCGAAGCCTTCGGTAGGGTTCTGAAGATTTTTCAACTGATGTTCGCTTCCTCTGCCTCACAGCCAACATGAGATCATTACTCGACAAGTTCTGATTTACTCTATGTACAGTCATTTTCGGCGTTGCCGTGAGAGCTTTTAGCGACTTGCCCAACGGTCGACGGAACTCGTCGGGCTCCGTTGAGCTCAGAAACGAGGCCAGTAACTGCACGCAGCAGATCGAGGTGACGATGACACAAATGAGCGCCAAAAGCCGCTGGGATCGCATGATTCGAATTTCGCTTCACACCTGCGGACATGGAACCTAATTAATTGATGAATGAATGAGTGGGTGACAGGGTAGAGGAACGATCAAGATTCTTCCGCGGAATCGGCTGCTCTCGGTTCCAGATTTCATGTCCTCGTCCGTCGACACTTCCCGAGACGATGCATCGATTTTCTATTTTCTACATGGGACGACAATTGAACGCGTCGCGCGTCACCCGACGAGAGCCGTCTAGTCGATTCCAGAGAGAAGGACAAATGTTTGGAATAAAGGGATCAAGCGCGAGATAGAGCTTCGAGACAACTTCGCAGTCAGTATACTCCCCGGAGTGTTTCAGAAAGTACGCAGTGATTCCGAATCAGTGAGGAATCAGCCGTATTCGGACACTCATTTTCAGGTCACCGAGCCCTTCATCAGAATTTGAGTCGAAATGCGATTCAAACATCCCTTTTGAATCCCAACATTTTCTCGTTGCTCGAGTCGCGCCTCGTAAATATAGTCACCTTTTTTGGCAGTCTTCTCTGCTCGATAGAACTCTGACGGCTCTTCGACCCCACCGTGTGTAATGTGTCCAGTGTCAGCATCAGGTCCGCGTTCGAGCGTTTCAAGTAGGGACACAATACCGTTATGTCATATCGCTGGTTCTGGTAATGCCGTCTGTGACCACCTTCCCGAGCACTTCGCCTCAACCACATTGGGCTACTCGAGACAGAGAACGCTCCTCCACCTTACTCATGATTGGGGCCGTTTACTCCTTGTTTCGTGTAACAATGATTCACGAGGGACGGATCCACCTCCGTCGAATTGATGCAAACACCGACTGATTTATTCAGCTGGGTACGGAGAGAATCGATGAGCGCGCGCGTGACTTTTGACTCAGACTTCTGTCATGATTTATGCTATGCGGGAGCCTAGCGCGAATCGAATACTCGTCTTTTGTGGAGTTCGAGTATGTTTGCTCACGCCACCGTATGTCGAGCATGGATTGAGCATTCTCGATGTGGCCGATGCTTTTGGAGCCTGCAGAGCGCAGAGCATTGCTACCAAGAGGGGACGCTGGAGTTTCCGCCCATTTCTCAGTCACCGTCAGGAGATTCATTGGTGAGAGGGCTTGCAGATGAATTTCTCCTCATGAAAATATCAGTCAAGTTCCGAAGACGTCGAACTGTACCGATACGTTTAGGTATATATATAGGTATATATATGTACAGGTATACGCCAGCGTGTGGAGTGAAGCAAATCAATTCTGCGTCGGCAGCCGGCGCGGCGTCGCTTCACCACGATAATGACAGTGGGGCGCTGTCCGCATTGCACTTTCTACAGATAGTGTGTCGGAATCGAATAGGTGCTCGACTACGGTCGGACGACATGCCGTCTCATTTTCATTCTCATAAGACCTGCTGGGATGAGGGGGTCTTGAGTCTTCCTCTCTGTGGACAATCCGACTTAGGATTTTTAGGAGCCGATCATTCATTCAATTTACAATAATCCCACCTTCCCCAATAACCATCGTGGACAAGCTTTTGCCGGTTCACGGCTTTAAACCATCGTAAGAGGAATTCGAAAATGCAGTTCCCTTGACGATGAAGCGGGTTGCGCATTCGAATGAGTCAAACATTTGCAAGGTTACGAAAAATCGTCTTCACAGAAATTTCTCTTCGGAACGCTGTCAGGAGCAGATGATCTGAACGGGCCGTCAACAAATCTCTTGATTGAAATCTTTTTGGCGCCAAGAACTTGTCTCCGCATCCCTATATCCGCGAAAGAATACGCGAGCTCCTCGACGGGGTCTTCCAGGCATCGATGAACCAGATTGAGTTTGTTTCTGGGTGAGCTCTGGAGCTCCACGACGGCTGACGACCTGCTCAGCTGACCGAGGGAGGTTTCGTCTGCGACTGTCGAATGTCCGATCATACATATTTACTCACTTTTTCCGTTCATGTTCGATCACAATCACCAGCCATCAGGCTCGAGAAGGGAACTTCCATGATCCGGGTTTCACCACTTGCCCGCGTTAAGGAAATGCGCAGATCGGAACATTCCCTAAACTGTGCTCAGTCAGAGTTCAGCGGTGTGACCACAGCCAACGCTTACCGCTGCGGCAATCGAACCGTCAAGCGCTGTCGAGCTCAGATGGGCATAGCTTAGTCACGCGCACATGTCACACCACGGGCCCCGTACAACCTTACCGTAGCGCGTCGACAAACTGTTCGCAAACTTGATGCTAGCTCATAGAATCGGTATATAGACACCAGCGCTGCATTCGTCGCGCGGAGAGGGGACAAGGCCTCGCTCATCTATGCTGTTGATGCGACGATGATCGTTCCGTTCTTTCGGAAAAGCAGCGCTCACCGTTTCGCCATCAACAATCCGACACTCTACACGGCGGCGCATCAAAAATCGGCTCAGATGTACGGTGTCAACTTTGGTATGCCTTCAGGTGGGGGATGGAATATCTGCTCGATTATCGTAACGAGCCGTGCTTGCGGTGGCCGATACCTGGTCGGTTACTCTCGCGGGAGGGTCAAAGGTAGCCGCAAGGAGATTGGCGACAATCGATGGTAAATAATAATCAGTCACGCCGAGCTCACGAGACTAACGATGCGTAGCCGATATGATGCATGATCGAAGTATATCGCCTTCATCTGCATTGTCTATTTGCAGAACGCGCTTCCGCAGGGTTTTGTCTCACCGATGGTCAGGTCGAGGAGGATTTGTGAGTTTGGTAGTCCTCCACCTTTGAGAGTTGCGGGAGCATCGAATGAATGAAGACGAGGAATAGAATAACGTATTGCGACGGAGTGGCACCGTCACCTTAAATTAGGCCGATACTTAGGGCCGAGACAGAGCGGGCGCGAATCCATTGTTTCCAGAACAATCATAAGTCATCTCGATTCGAGGATCGTATCCATGTCTCCCTTATCTATACGAAGCGATGAGCAGGAACTTGAGGGAAGCCGCCGCGGGTATACTCGGTACTCGGTACAGTCTTCGGAAATTCGATCTGACCGGGGAGTCCGGGAAAGGTAAATCATGAGGCAAAAAGTCTTGTACAGGTTGACGCATATAGGTAGGTATCACATTCTCGACTGCGAGATACTGGGGCGGGATTCAGACGGAACAACGGGAACCGGTCGTAGCTGAATAGCTCCATATTGAGAATGCATCACACTGTGAATTCTTGAAAAATGTACGAAGCCAGAAAATATCTAGGGAGAAAACACCCCTTGCTCAAGGAGAGTCGATGCCTCATAGCCAAGTCGGTGCCTTTCCACCGCCCTGATTTTATTCACATTCTATGTACATACTCCCCATCAAATTATTTTTCGTAGGATAAGAATGTTGAGAGTTGTGGATACTTATGCGCTCGCGAAGAAGTCTACTCAGACGACGCGAAGGAAGAATAAGATTCCATGGGCGGGCAACTACAAATCAGATGCGTGTCCCCGTAAGTATCGTCGATCCGAGAAACTGTGGGCCACATTTTGGTGGCGGGGGTGATGAATGGCTGGAATGGATAAATAGAGCTTTAGTCATCAAGAAGGTTCAACTTTTTCCGGGCGATCTTCTCTCTCCTTATGAGACGATTCTCGTTTATGATACTCACGGCAGGAAAAACCGCTTGCTCACGAGTGTAGGCATGCTCCCATTCGTTCTGAGTGATCGTTTTGATGGTGTGGGGCGAATTCTGCGATGAATGGAATTTGTCAGACTCAATCAATGATGTTTCGGGAGGACTCGATCCAAGAGAATATCCAACCTACGAGTCTTGTTCCACGTCTCACCTTCACAGGGTTATCGTCCTTGCTCCATTTCCCGTCTTCGATGTTTTGGATTTCTTGACGGATATATATCATAGCGTCACAGAAGCGATCGAGCTCTGCCTTATCCTCTGATTCCGTTGGCTCGACCATCAGACAACCGCTAACCGGGAAGGACACAGTTGGTGCATGGAAACCGTAATCCTGGAGTCGCTTTGCGATGTCCATTGCCTGCGGATCCGGGAGAGCGCTCAGAAATCTTGGGATTGAATAAAAACGATCTTGGACTTGCATGCGAGACCTCCGAAAAACTCGTAATACCTTCCACTAACCTCGATGTTAGTTGCTTTCTTGAAGTCTCGGCAGTCGATAATGAACTCGTGGGCAGCGAAACCGTTCTTGCCCGAAAAGAGAACTTTGTAGTGCTTTTCCACTCTCCGTCGCATGTAATTTGCGTTGAGAATAGCCAGTTGGGTAGCTTGTTTAAGTCCGTCCGGACCCATCATCTTGATATAGGCCCAGGATATCGGCAGGATTGCGGAGGATCCCCAAGGAGCAGCGCTCACGACGCCGAACGAATTTTGAATATCCCCCGGCGCTACGACCGGATGCGAAGGTAAATAGGGTGCCAAATGAGCTTTCCTGAAGGAGAACAGTGATTCTCGTGAACCTCAGAGTAGGGCGACACTCTTCGCCGCATTGGTGGCGATTCCTCAAACAAAATTCGGTCGTTTGAACCTACACTCCGATAGGCCCCATTCCCGGACCACCTCCCCCGTGTGGAATGCAGAAGGTTTTGTGTAGGTTCAGATGGCTCACGTCAGAGCCGTAGTCTCCCGGTCGGCACAGACCAACTTGAGCGTTCATGTTGGCTCCGTCGAGGTAGACCTGGCCCCCAACGGAATGTACAACATCGCAGACTTCCCTGAAAATCATACCGAGAATATGGAGTTTCGGTCCGCCGCATCTATCCGCTAATTTTCCGGGCGAGCTCTCGCGATTTCCTTTCATTCTATCATGCTTCCATGCCCTCGAAGAGCACCTCACCTGACTGTGTCCTCGAATATCCCGTAGGTGGAGGGATACGTGATCATGATACACGCAACTTTATCGCCGTGTTGCTTAATCTTTTTACGAAGATGAGCAACGTCGATCGTCCCTTCAGATGTGACCTTTATGGGATCTACAACCATGCCGGCCATTTGAGCAGAAGCCGGATTTGTTCCATGAGCCGATACCGGAATCAGGCAGACGTTACGTTGATGTTCGCCTATTGAGTTGGGGCGATACTTAGCACAAAATCGTTGGTGGCCGAATCGCTGGATTACCTCGCCACGGATACTCTATCGCTCGTGGAAATATATTCCTGATGTCGTCCGCCTCACTCGCACCCTTCGATTTGAAGTATTCGGTGATTGCTCGGAGCCCAGCGTATTCTCCTTGTGCGCCAGAGTTCGGTTGGAATGATATTCGATCATAACCGGTGATCTCGCAAAGATCGCGCTCAAGCTGGGAGAACATTTGGAGATATCCAGCTGTTTGCTCGAGCGGAACGAAAGGATGGATGTGAGCGATCTCTGGCATTGAGCAAGGCTGGAAGCGAAGGAACGAAGGAGCTCTCAGCTCTATCTCTCTGTTCAGACTCGCCTCCGTCGAAGGAGATGGAGCAAACGAAGGAATAGCGGGAGCGAGCCTCATGGGCTCATCAATCGAATATGTACGTCAATAATCAGGGGTCTGACGACAGCGTTCCCGCTCTCTCGGATGCTCACCATCATCTCCGTAGTGGAGTTGAGCTTCATCGTGCAGGAGCCCAGAGGAATCATGGAATGAACCAGGGAGATGTCTTTGTTCTCGAGCATTTTCATGTAGCGAACAATCTGAGTTTCCGAGTGGTAGCTGCGGATTTGGAAGTACCCGCTCGGTTAGTGAGGCTAAACTCCCATGTGAATAACTTATCCCCGTCGCATTTCACTCACCAGTTGAAAACGGGATGTGTCAAGAAAGGGCTCTCTCGTAGATAAACCGCGGGAATATTTTCGAACCTACCAGCCAGCTCGGCCGCCAAATCGAGCTGCGATAAGAATTTCCTTGACTCAAGAAGACGGCGAGAGAAACATGCTCTACCGAAATCTTCTCATTCCATGACCTACCGCGTTTGTTGGACTTTCGAAAATTTGTAGAAGATCATCCAGATCCTGGAGCCGGGTGGCTTCGTCCAAAGAGACCCCGACATCCCCATCATCAAAATATCTCAAGTTGATTTTGTACTGGTGAGCTCGCTTCTCCAGAGTGCCAACATCGCCTTTGGGAGCGATTTTCAGGGTGTCGAAGAAGTGCTCATGTCTTAGCTTGTGGCCTGCTTGACGTACTCCGGCCGCCAGAACAGCTGTGGATGCATGCACTCTGTAATTGGGAGCCTCTCGAGTCATTTTGCGTCTCCCCTCACGAACGTCCTCGCACAAAATATCCTCTGGCGGCGGACCAAATCATTCGCACCTGTTCGCTATGTCCTTAAGTCCTTGAGGTCCGTGATAGACAGCGTACATTGCCGACATGTTTGCTAATAATGCTTGAGCTGTGCAAATATTTGAAGTTGCTCTATCCCTGCGGATATGCTGTTCGCGAGTTTGGAGAGCTAATCGATACGCGGAATTTCCGTGGGCATCCCTGCGAGACAGATTTCCTCAGAATTATGGGCCACGGGGCAACTTCAACTCAAAATTCGCTGTCGCTTGCCTCTCCGAACCATCTCCATCGTTACAAAACCGGAGTTCCTGTTTTTCCTCAGAAATTCAGTATGATCAATACCTCGTGACTCCCACCACACGTCCTGGCATCAGACGAGTGAGGTTGTTCCTCGTTGCGAAGTATCCTGCGTGGGGTCCGCCGTAGTTCAGAGGAACTCCGAAGCGCTGCGTGGTGCCAACGGCTACATCGGCTCCGAGCTCTCCAGGCGGTCTCAAAATCGTTAGCGAGAGTATATCCGCGGCGCAAACTGCCAAGGCCTGCCAAGTATATATACGCATTAGACCTTCGCGAATCAACGTCATTCACGGATCCGTCGGGGACCGCGATGAGTTTAGGCGATATCTCAGAGACTCACCCCGCCGTCGTGGCACTTCTCAATGAGATCATGGTAATTGTTGATTGCTCCTTCGGTGTCCGGATATTGAAACAGCATTCCGCAAGCATCTTTCGTGGAGAAATCCACCTCGTCCAAGTTCTTAACGAGGACTTCGATACCCATCGCGCTGAATGGATGATTCATCAGAAATGCTTGGTCACCCCCATAGCACCACATGGAAGCTTCATGGGTGCAGACGCTTCAGACTGTCCAGCAAGTCCATGCGTATCAGTGGAAACCAGAGTTCTCCTCTCGAGGAACGGGAGAAGCCTGACACATTCAGAAGTTCTCATACCGCGATGCTCCCTTGACATGCTCAATCAGACTCATACCTTGCCCGTGTCTCCACCACCCCTATGGTTTGCGGGTGGACTTTGTCAGAAACGTAGAACTTCCGCTTCTTCGTGCTCCTGAAGCAGAGACCCATGGCTTCCGCGGCAGCCGTGCCCTCATCGAGGAGCGACGCGTTCGCGATGTCCATCCCTGTGAGATCTTTGATCATCGTCTGGAAGTTCAGCAAAGATTCGAGGCGGCCCTGGGCGATCTCGGCCTGATATGGAGTATACTGTGTCGTCCTGCAGAAAGGATAGAGCTCCACAAGCATGTTCGTTCGAGAATATTATATATTCGACGTCGATTAGGCATGAATGGAGATCTGGGAAAATATTGACCAGCCTGGGTTTTCGAAGATGTTCCGCGTAATCGTATGCGGCGTCAAGCAGCTCGAGTAGCCCATTCCGATGTAAGATCTCCAGATCTGATTCTTCTTAGCGATTTCCGAGGCTTTCCGCATCAACTCATCTTCAGCTGAAGACACAGATGAGATTCCAATCAAGTTAGTAAGCGATCACCGATTCCTCATAGATCGAATGATTCTTGTATCATTGCTGCTTCCGTGTGAACTGACTCAGAGCTGGATCGATATTGAGAGCCCTGTTCAAGCGAATAGTCTCGGGTACGGTCTTCGCAATCAGTTCGTCGATCGTCTGGGGATAGAAAATTATATCATTGGAGTGTGCGATAGACTTAGACTTCCCCGTCCCAGCTTAAATGAATTTATTAATATTTGATGGCAGACGGAGGCATCCCGAATAATGACGGAAGAACGACGCATATTTGCGATTTTTGGAGATCGCCCGATAAGATCTATCCAGCCGATTATACGAGTGGGAATGCTCCACAAATCTTATCGTTGATCTTATCCAACCAGGTGGCATCTGACCTTCTTCCGGCCAGGGATCTTCACGATAAACAAAAACTTGGTGAAGTTCTCCCGGAGGCTGTTCGCTACTGGATTTTGATTCAAACTCGAGCTGCTCGTCATCATCGAATGATATGACAGATTCATCAGGTAGGTACTGAATATCAGGAATCGGAAATAGGGGCCTCTTAAATGTTTGCATGAATTATCTCTGAGACACACATCGAGTTCGCCTCACAGTTAAGAATCGGATCTAGAAGTTCCAAGGGGATTTCAGTCTTCAAAACGGAGTCACTCCTTTCCATCGCTTACTTTCAAACCGAGATAATCCAGCATGTCCCGCTGATCTTTCGCGCGCGGACCAACATGGCGCGAGCAGAAATCTTCTTTTTTGAGCAGAACCGATTGGACACTGGCAGCCGTACTCTGGTACCTGGAAAATTTCTCATATGTTTCGAGATTCCGCTGCACACATGGGAGAAAATAGTTTCATGCGGAAGCTCGACTCTTTCGACACGGGAGGCTGGGCATAATTCCGGGAATCATGTCCTAAGTTAGGAGCTCACCTCGCCAAGGACAATATTCCTATCCGAGAACGCTTGAAGACACGCAACATTGTCACAGACGGAAAAGAAGAGCGGGAAAAAGTGTCAAACTCATAACCCTACGAAAAATTTCCAGTCTCGAGCCGTCAACAGCACTCCTCGAGCTTGGCAAGGGCAGGATCGCCAAGGCGAGGACGCCGAGACGATCTCTCAGTCTGTCTAATCTGATGAAGATATGCCCTATCTCCGGGTTATCAGTAGGTTGTTTCTGCTGGATTAGATCGGGGTGAAGCATCCAGGGCGCGCTGTGCCTGTTCGAATTCTCTGCTTATCCAGTGTCGAACCCATTTGCGGTGTACGTTCTACGGTACTTGACCACTGTTGGAATCAATCGTGGATGGATGAATGCGAACGAGGGCATCAAGTCCACGATCCGATGTCATCAAAGGAATGCTCTCGCAAATCACATGAACAGGGGGAACAGACTGGGGTATCCGTGGATTAGCGAAGCGCCAGTCCAAGGTCCTCAGATTCCGCGGCATCGAGACGAGATATTCATTCCTGACTCGCGAATGTTAACGGTTTGATTACTTCTCGCTGCAATTGATCAAATTCCTCGTGACGTCGCCTATGGGGGGAGGGGGGGATAGGAGCAGTCAACTTCCATCGTCGAGTTATCGATGCTTTTATCAGTATTCGCCTACCTCCGTCATGGAACTAGATTATATGAAATTATAGTGGCGGACTCTGGATCACCTCACGTTGAATAGGTCATCGAAACCTCGGCCTGAAGACGGAGACCCGATTATCATGACTCGCGCCTTCAAGCTGCAATGAGGTAGTCTGCCAAAGAATAACTCCGCTATGGTTCACTAGGATCTCCCAGTGCATGAGATGGTGCAAAATTATCGATTCAGAGGCGAGGCCTGGACCGCAGAACTCGTTTTCACGCACGTGGGACTACTTGTTCATGCGTGGCACTTAATCGATCAGAGACTTAGTTTCTTCAATGAATAGTTCCGAGGGCCAGCCGACCTTCACGCTTAGGGAGAATCACCCTGGGTCGGTCGCACCGACCGATGACCTCGTCACCCCCAGGAAAGCGGAGCGTTTGGCCGATAGCGTCGAGTACGTGAGGTGTCCCGATAAGCCCGATAACATCCGTGCGTTCGGGACGCGAAGGACGCACGAATTCAACGTCAGTTCAACTTAATTTACGGTCTCACAGCACACACCCTAATAAAATATCACAATGGATGGCTCAAAGCTGTAATCTTGTTGCCGAGAACAGGATTCTCTTTGAGGGAGCATTGAGTTGTAAAAACGAGGCTATGCATCGACGGCACGGCGTCCCGAATGATGACCCGCTGATGAATAGAATCCGGCATCTCGAACGATAAATGAAATCCGAAACTGATTTCTCCAATCCGTCCAGTAATTTTTCTTGTATACATACTGAATACATAGTATTTTGAAGGATCAGCATTGGATCATGTCGGAAAGAGTATTTGGCGCCATCTAATCCGGTTTCGATTCTGCTGCGACTCGAGATTATCGTCTCCATTACGTTGACTCGCGCGTTCAACTCGCACCGACGAGGCCGTTCCTGAATCCAGCGAATATCAAGCTGTGGCTGTGCCGAAACTGCGGATCTCGATCGAGCCACCACGGGAATTTCCAATTTGCTCGATTGCTGATACGGAGCAAGCCTAATAGCATCAACTCTCTAGCGAGACGATAAGCGCGTGGGTCAGTTTGTATCTCCTAGCTTCTGACCCCACCATCGGATACGCTGCGGTTCATGCAGCGATAGAGATCGCATGTCCGTCCGTATCAGGGCTACTGCCTAATACTTTTTATCGGCACGATGACGCTGCCTAAATAATTGACAAAATCGCTTACTAATTGAAAATGTGAATACCACCGACTAGCGAAGCCCGTTCTGAACCCCGAGCCGAGTACCGATGGAAGGAAACCTCCATACATGGAGGAGTGAGGGAGCGAGTCTTCTCCGTCATCCGTGCACACATAGCGCTAATTGACACAGCTTGTACGATGAGAAGCGAAGGTGTCTTTGAAGGCTTGTCGACAAAGTTGTGCCAATTAAAATATCACCTTGGAGCAAAGAGGTAGGAGGACAGCCAGTCAGTCAGTCGCTCAGTCAGTCCATAGCTGTCCTCAACAAGATCATTTCGTTTGCGAGAGAAAAAAAGTGCCCCGGGGGGAAAGAAGCTCGGCGAGACCTTCACATACAGCTTCTTCATTATGTCGGTGGTGGCGGTGGTAGAAGCAGGATTGGCTGAATCGTCGTCCGCGGCGACGGCGAGCTGGCGGCGATGTTGGCAATGGCAGAGAGACCAATAAATACCGAATGGGCTCCTGGTGGGAGGCAATTAGCCTGTTGTATCGAATCACAGAGAAAGCCGAGTCATGATGTCAAAACCAGCTGACCTTACCATTGTGCCATTCGACGGGGGTAGAGGGATACTGAGCGCCTTATTAGGGGGCCGATAGGGCGGGAGAACTAACGGGCTTGCCGATTCGCTGAAGGGAGGTATTCCAGCGAGGGCGACTTCGCTAACGAGGCTGCTGTTTGCCGTGGACAACGCTTGTGGCTTGTCCATAATAACGACAAATGCGTCAGACGGTACTGGAGCTCCGCAACATCCTCCATTCATGAGTTCACCCGCTCGTTTCATCAGGGCCTGCTGTACTCTCATCCGATACACGATGATGCTTACAGGACCACGGCCGTTGACGACCGAATTATCGTGAGGTGTTCCTTCCGATTGATTTGGCATATGCTCTCCCCTCTCAGCCCAAGACTCCGTATACCGGATACGGTGGGTGGTCATTGAGAACTTCGGTGGCTTGACCGCCGAATCCACCGTCCCTTGGTGATGATAAGAAAACAGTGTAACCTCGTTACAACGAACCTCGCGGGACCGAAAATATCTGTTCGTTGTAACAAGGTTCACTCTAGCGGATGTTTTCCATCATTATCTCTATGATGGCAATCCAGCCAGGGAGGGCAAAGAAGCGTCCGTTCTACCGAAAATTCCTCGCAACGATGTTCGTTGAAACGAGATTTCACTGTATTGGTAGAAACAGGAAGATTTTCCTGCCCGACCAAGTGATCTACACCTTCTAGGAAACGCTCGAGACTGATCACGAACTCGCGGAAAGGGAAAGTCAGAAATAACGCTTCTTGATCCTGCTCGCCAACTCCTGGGATATCCTGCCAAGAAGAGATGAGATTCACTTGTATCTGACGTCCCCCGGCGCTCACTCTATGCTACAGAGCTCGTTACCTGCGATACCCAAGCTCTTCGTCGGAAATGTAATGTGAGGCAAGAATTTGCTATCCGGCGGTGTTCTTGGCATGGACCGACTCCCAAACTCAAGAGAGGGTGGAGAGCTAACTAGCTAGTTAGCGGATCTCAGAGACTCTCTGGCTTCACTAATGTTGTTGCGAACGTTTGAATAGCGAGACCGAGAGGCAGAAAACTCATCTGGAACTCTATCAAAAGACGACGAAAATCGTCTCCATGCCTTTTGCTCTCCAATGCGGCCCGCTTTCGGTGCCGAATGCGGAACAATTGATCGGCAAGAGTTTGATAGAAGTCCTCGTTAGCTGAGCGTGGCCCACAGTGAGCGGAAGCTCTCTCTATGACGGGGCTAACGACTGCGCGATTAGTACTATTCAGATGAACTCCGACGACTGACGAATGCCGACCATGGAATGGAGGTGGAAATATTTGAGGAACCTTAACGAGCTAGCATTCTCCCGCATTGGAGCCCGCCCACGGTCAGGTCGAGTGATTCCACTCCAACGAGAGACAGACGATTTCAGAGTTGGTGAATGATGGGGGCATCCGAAATTTAGCGAACCGCCGTCAGGCAAAAGTTCGTTCGACCGGTCCACATCTCGTTGCCGGTATTTTTTAGAGGCCACGATGTTAACTCCGTACACGTTTTCGAATTCTGGAGTTCATCGAAAAAGCCGCTCACCGAGGTAGTCGATTGGTGTGCAATGAGATTTACGAATTAGAGGAGAGGATTCCATCGGGATTTCGCGCTCGAAAACAGAATCACGCCCACTCTACAAACGATTGTTTTGGCTCGGAGAAGAAAATCAAAGAGAAATCGGCTCGGAAACGGGGGAAGCTGTGAGGTCATTGCGAATGCATCGACACGAACTTGATCTATTCGGGACACGGGTCCCAATCTAACGGGGAGGGTCATATCGGGAGGGGATCGGCCTTCATCAGGAAAACATTGAGAACAACGGCTGCCCCGAGCGGAACTCATCGGAGGATCGCATATCTTGAACACGTCATCCGACATCGATCGAGCTCAAGTTTATCCCACCCTACCGAGCTAGCCCGCGCGACTTGAAAATCCGAAACTGTGCCTGAGCTTCGAGCTTGAAATTCCTTGGCGAACGATTGTAGTATTCGCCGCTCCGAAGTCGCTTCTGGATTCGCGATGGTCTGATTCAAGCCCGATTGCCGTGGCACAACAAAAGAAGATCGGGTTACGTCGCGTCAAATCTTCTGATTGTCCGTCAGCCGACAGAGATCTTCTGAATTTTGTAGATCATGGCATCGTTTATGGAATTAGTGCAACCGAGCCTTCCATCTCGACCAAACCTTCGAAATATCGCTGGAGGGAGGGAGGAGATATACATACTATGGAAGAATTATTGTGAGGATCTTCGAGGACTCTTTGACTCTGTTTCGAGAAAAAATCTGTTTCTTCCGAGTATGCGGTAGAGCAGTCGGAGAGATCCCCGACGAGAAGCCATCGGGACCGCGTGCTCCATGTCTTGCTCCTCAAATCGGCCGTCGTCCCGATGGCTGTTATTGTTTGCTTGCCGAGGCTTTCGAGCTCGACCATGTGAGTGTAAATGTTAGTTGATTCGGTTACTCGGCATGTCCTCTTGACCCTGTGACATCAAATATGAGAGGCCGAAGGATTTCTTCTCACGGGAGGCGCCACCTGAAATCTTCATCTTCCATTCGCTCGTTCGTTCGCTCCTCGCTCGCTCGGCGCTCCGTCCAAATGGGTTAAGTGGCTCCGCTTGACGGCCGCTCACCATATTTGCATTTTAACACAGAGAGTCACTCTCTCGCTCAAATATACATACAACGGCCGCCAACAATGGCAGCCTAATCAAACTTTCCAGCATTCTCGTTGGGTAGTCTCTACTCGGGTCGCCTCGGGTTCGAGGATCCGAGTTTCGGTTAGAAAAAACTCTCCGTCTCTTACAACAGTAATCGGCTGCCAAAAGGCCACGGCGACGGCCGCGCTGCGACTCCCCGGTAAATTTTCACATCGAGCTCTTCCTCCGGATAGAGAAGTTCCACTCAATAAAGAATGGATCCCTTGATGACCCACCGAGGCGGGTAGACGTCGGGGATCAGACAGACATTCTCCATGCTTTTGTTTCAGTTCTACACATCTATGTACCAGCCGGATCAGATAGGGGTTCCATTCCGTCTTTCGGAGCGCGTTTCCGCTGTGTGTAAGCCCCTCTCAGGACGGGAATCCCCCACAAAAGGAATTCAGTTCTCGTGCTCAACCGGCTACGCGGGCTTTGTCGGGCTAACAATCAAAATTTACTCAGATGAGATCCGACGCTGTTCTTCGACGATAACTTGACTCACACAAAACTACGAGTTCGAACATCAGACACAATCACGGAGCAAAAATGTTCGCTCCGCCTATCCGCTCTACATACATTTAGGCTATGAGAGTCTTCCATTACGAGCCGTGCCTCGGCGACACAGTGACGGCTCCGGGATTTATTTCCTCGGATTAGCAGACACAATGAGCAGGAGGGGTGCTCCTCTACTCGAACTTTATTTGAGGTGAGAAGAGAGCGTCGAGTTCATAATGACCTCATCAAGCTCTATCAGGACGGGACTCCATCGAGCTCGACAAACCAGCTTTCCGGTTTCTGAGGCGAAGAATTCTGCAGGGAGCCTGATCGTTTGCAAACGGATGATGTCGTATGGTCACGCTAGCTTGACCAGTCGCTACTTCATTCGCTTGAACGGACTACTTGCTAGTTTACTCTTAGAGGGAAGAGTGCCTACGTCTTGAAAAACATTTGATTTGTGGCAGCTGGTGTCGCCACCCCATTCAAAAGTAGTAGGTAAATAGTAACCCGCGTCTTGGGGAGAAAAATCTGCCGAGTCCTGACGCACTAGAATGGGTCGTGTACGTCTCTCTGAAAGTCTGCTTTGACGTCGAATTCTCCATCAGAGAGGTATGCCGCGGTTCCCGGCGTCAATTCTCGCAAAACGGGATGAGCTTCGCAAAAGCATTCTGAGACCATAATCCCATGTCTCAGCCCAACTTGGGAGACGCCATATATGCAACGTTTCCACTGCCCAGGTACTTAGTCAGCTTTATCGTGAGTCGCATGCAAATTTAGCGAATGTCAAAGCGGAGTTCCTAGGGCAGGATGTTCGCAACAATTATCAGCCAGATCTCCGAGGGGATAGGCAGACGAGCGGACGAAGTTGATGTTCCCGCTCTCGGTCCTACAGCTAAGCTGGTTCTCATGAAACTTGACGCCGAGCAGCTTCTGAGTCGTAACAGAGCCGGCGGAGCGCGAGGCTACGAGCGATCTGAGCAAATCTGTGAATCGAGTCGTCGGTGCTCAAAATTAGCTTCCCTCAAATTTTTCAATAACTGAAGCGTCCATTCACAATTCGGCAATATTCTTCTCCGTGATGGTCGATGGAGACGGAGAGATTTCGAGGAAATTTTCATTCACGAGATGAAAGCCGACCCTGATATTGAGGCTCTTGCAGAAGAAGGTGATGAGAATCGATCCACTTCGAGAGAGTATGCCCAATATCGCAAAGAGCGGTGGCGGAGGATTCTCGTCAGAACTTATGGAGGACGGTAGTGGAAGAAATTATAGTCACAGAGTCCAAGCTGTCATACACACCATAGAGGTACGCGACCAATCGGAGCTCTGCAGTCCACAGCGCGTCAATCGTAAGGGCTACAAGACAGCCTCCTCCGGCCGAGAGCAGAGATATCTTTAACCCATAGGACTTCACCTAAGCGACAAACGCGAGCGTCTGGCCGTGTCCTTGAGCAGCCCTGAGGATAGGAACAAAAGGAAGCAGAAATGAGTTTTTATAGAGAATTTCTGTTATCGCAAATACGCGGAATTAATGAAAGGTTCGCGGCGGTACTCCCTCCGAAAACGAAATTTATTCTACCGCAATCCAAAGTTCTACACACATCTGTCATGAGCACATCGTACAAAGCGTTTGGAAATTTCGAAATAAATGAAAACATCTGCAAACTTTCTCGCTCCTGATTACTAGGGCAGTCTAGTCCATTTGCGAGAGAGTCAGATATCTGAGACACGACCTGATTGAAGAGACAGATTTTGATGTAGCGATCCATTTTCCGCAGAGGTCCGGTTTGGGGATGCGGATTTTATGAGAGATACTCCCAAATTGAGATACCTGTATATGATGGTTCACTCCCTCGATACTCTGCTCCGACGCATAGGCAACTGCTTATTCTTGGACCTCGCTCGGCCGAGGATTCCTTCGGGAGCTCCTCTCGGGAGGCTATGCTTTATTCCCGTAAAGCATAACCTCGGCATAAAGGACTAGTGAAGGATCTTTCTTGCTTGGAGCGATGGATAATCTCGGTCGTTGAGGTCAGAGTATCAATCAGTAGCCTGTATGATTCGTCCTTGAGATTAATTTCCGGGACGGATTTTCCTTTTCCTCGTGGAACGAGAGCGTATGGCTCAAGAGTATCCGTGAATCGATATCATGACTCAATACTCCACGAAGTCCTTACAAGAGCGCACAGATGTCAGCGAAGTACTTTCTGTATGATCCATTTATATAGCTTGTGATGTGATGAGCGACTGCCACCGATGCAGCAACGGCCAGCCGGAGAGAAATTGGGCATCGTTCAAAAATTCGTAGTGATTAGCCTCTTCTACCATCGTATATCGAATGCGAGGGTGATCATGAAGAAGAGACATCCCAGCGGCGGAGATCGTACACATTGAATTCACGAAGTCATTCGAGACCAGTTCAGTGATCCAGAGAGAACGTAGGCAGATAGCGTTCCTCTGATTCTGAGCCACGATTTATAAATATTTTACACTCTTCAGTGCACATTGTCCCCGTATCTACGGTGCTTATCAGACTACCGTAGTGGGTCGAGTCACTGGGAGGGCCACGGTGGTGTGGTCTCGATAATAAAACAGAATTATCTTAATTGAAACGATACAGATTGAGATAAAGCTAGGAAAAAAATTGGCTCCCGACTTGGTGGGCAGAGAGGCTCCTCCTTTCTCACACAGAGTTCAGCGGCAACTGACACGCAAGCGAGTCCGCGGTGCTGCGATAAGCGTTCCGGCTATTAGATTAATTGAAACATGAGAGCCGAACTGAATCCGATGGACATTTAGGGGCAGCGGTAGAATAATTGTTCACGATGTTCCTCGAATGAATATCATTGAGTGTCTCGCTCCTGGAAGTGTTAGCCGTTGCCCGATCGGCTCCCTGAGTTCATTCTACCGTGGACGGATGTCCTTATCGGAGTTTCCTCCGAACTCGAACGAGGGCGCCCGATGAGCGTGAGGCATCATCCCGCATTACTGTTGCGGAAGCAAACGGAAAGGAGGAGGAACGAGTTCTCGTAGGATTGTCTTCGAGCTGTTCCGTTCCTTCGGGCCGATTATCTGAGCGACGCACCTGCACTGCGCGTTCCGTCTCCGGCACGAGACTCGAGTATCATTCCAGGATGACAAACCTGGACACATTGACTCTTCCGAAGAACTTCGCCGTCTTCCCCCCCGTCGCTACACGTCTTCAGCGGTCCCGGACCTCAGCTTGGACGCTCCCGAGGAATAATTCAATGCTCCCTCGCAATCGAGTCGAGTTCCATGACCCTAATCTATCCATGGGCTCACTTCTCAGCTCGATCGGTGCCCCTATTTCCCCGAAAACCGGGTTCCTTTCCGATGCGGAAATAGTACACCACATGCTCATGACATGCGAGTGATTGACTGAGAACCACTTACGAACTGGCTGACTACGAGTCGACTATCGTCGGACGATGTTTTCCCTACGAGATCAGCGAGCGCGCCGATTATGGCATCAACTCGAGCTCACCAGCCAGTTAGCTAGCGGAGCGGCCTGCGAGGCCGCCACCACGCACGGCGACCAGACACACAGCGGTTCAGTCCCACCCTTCGCTCGGAGACCCCGCCCACTGAAACCGCTCTCCCGTAGACTCATAGAGATCCACACAACGTGCCAACTGCGAGACCACCACCGCGAAAGCCAAGCTTACCCAGTGGCCGCAATGACAATTCGCCTACATTAAACGAAGGCCTCAACAGCGTGCACAGCTGTTCGACATCCACCGCAACTGTACGTTCGGTCTGGCGGAAGAATTTATCATCATCGAACATTTTTGACTGCCTCCGCCGAGTACGCTTCTGTCAACCCCATCGGAACGCACCTCCTGTTCTCCCAACAAGTGGTATACGGCTCGCGCTGCCGAGAGCGACGGCAATGTCTCTCAGTGAGGAGAAACAGCGAAGTTTGACCTACTCCATCGATGCCATCCTTGGCCTTCAGAAAGACACAGAACCCGTGGAAAGTAAGTTATTCGGTGGCTTTCAAGTCCGCGAAGCCTAGACTAGCGTACACATCGATGAATGGTTTGGGACCTCAAGAGAACGTCATGGTAGGATACGGATGTGGAATCAGTCACCCGCTTCCGCTTCGTTGACGAAAACAGTGGAGACTTTATCGAGAATAGATCAGGACCTGCGTCACCGCTAGGTGTCTCTCCGTTGAACGCGAAAGCAGCGTGGTGACCCTTCGAAACGAATGAAGACAATATGATTTCCGGCTGAATTCGGAAATCACACGAAACAGTGACGAAGTACGCACTGAAAATGTCCGGCATGCATCTTAATTCTTGGGATAGGGCTCCGCGGTGAGCCCTGCATCGGAACGGAAATGTCATCTGACATCATGGACGTCTGAACGATTCCCAGCAAGCCTATCGATAGCTTGTTGTTCGCTTACAAATTTAATGAGATCAAAACTGTGGAGCTCCTCGCAGTTTCCGCTACGATCACTTAGCGAGGAGATAATTCCCGGGGATTTTCTAGCGGATGTATTAGCCGAATTATTCGTTATGAAGCTCTCGGGATCTCCACACGCAAATTGGACAAAGTCTAACCCGGAAGGATTGTCCACGGTAGACTAGCGAAACTTCCCCTGCGATTCGGGACCGAAGTGACCGAATCTGGATGGGAGGAATCGGGGGACTGCCCGTTCGGACGAAGCGTTCCCCACAAAGAGGTGACTGGAGGAGTGGCCCCGTGATGTCAAACGCGGAAATCTCAGGTTTCTCTCATCAAGCTGGTTTTCCAAGAGGGATGTGGCCACACAGTCGCAGTGAACTCGTCGAGTTGCTTGGCTTTGTCCTCTTCCGAAAAAATTCAGGACGGATGAAAGCACAGCAAGTGTGCCTTTGCCGTGAATCGAGCTGACAGTGTTGCAGCTGCTCGGGAACTCTCTTTGAAACATTATATGTAATATGATGGGACACGCATCTGTTCGGAAGTTTTCGGAAAAGCAGCTGGTTTATGACCAATATTCCTTGCGGGGAGGGGACGCGAAGTCTTCTGAAGAAAAGGAAAAAGCCTTCCGTGCGCTGCGATCACGTGCGGAGTCGGTCCCTCCGGAATGAGTCCGACCGTCTCGGTTCTCCGAGTAATTTGACATTAGCGGAACAATGCGCGATAGCAGGAAGTCGCGACGAAGCTTACGATTAAGGCGATCCCCCTATCAACCAGCAGCGGCACGGCAGTAACTCGAACCGGCTTCTGCATTCCGATCATTTGCGGAGAGATATTAATTTGCTACAGGTGATCGTTTTTGATGAAGATGTCGATCTCGCGGTTCTGGATCAGATTCAGTCGGAGTCGAGGAGGGCCGAAATGCAGGCCAGCGGAATCACCAAATGAAATCCACGAGAGATAAATCTCTCACGCCCTGCTGAAATTAACGGTTTCAGGTTTCGGCTTCGTCTCGTGAAAACTTGGTCTTTGTACACGAGCCAGCGTCACGGAGAAGTATTGTATCGACAGGGCCGTGTTTGCTCTCTGTCGCGCCGCCCTATTGTTGGTGCTCCAAGCGCCGTTAGAAGGGTTATCCGCTAGAGCTCTGGCTCGAGACTACGGCCAATTAGAGAAGAATTCTCTCGGGATGCCGCTCGGATCGAGACGAGACGATCTCTAGCAGCGCAGACGTTTTGAAGACTCTCCTCGAGAGGAGCGCTTTTTTATTCGCGACTTTGTTTTCCCTATAGCAGCATAAAAGCTCGATCAGAATTCGAACAATATTCAGGTACTCCCATAGATATCCCGAAGTAGAACTCCGCTGGTTCAAATTCGGAGCCATCTGGGAAACGAACGTCTCCGGGACCAGAAAGTGCGACACGGATCCAAATACAACTTACCGTTTATTCCGGCGATAGGGTTTCGCCAGCGCGTGAGTGTTCCTGTTCTCGTTCTATAAGCGAACTTGAGAAACGCTCTCACTGAAGCTCGAAACGATGGATTCCAGTTGAGCCCGAAGAGACCAGATGACGGAGGCGACCAGCTCATTGTCCTCAAAAAGGAAACCTGACTCCGTTCCTCTTCGCTGTCGTCGTCGTTGTTGTTGCTGCTGCTGCTGCTGATGTTGTAGTAAGCATTGTAGACGCCGTCGTCGTATTCACACTCGCACAATGGGCTCACTCGGCATCCCTGTCGCCCAACGTGTTAAGTACTAAGTAGGCATATGGGTTGAAGCGGTAGGCCATTTGTCGACTCGGCGACGAATGACATATTGGAGCAGCGAATTGGCTGGCTCGTAGAGATCTCTAGAGTTCGCAGTCTACTTAGCGGAGTTTTCACTCATTCATTGGAACGGAGGAGATCGGGAACTCGAGCCCAAAAGACTTTTCGAGGAAGACCGAAAGTGATTTTGTTATGGTTTGACAGAAAGTGGTCTCGCCTAGCAATCGTAACGGCTCGATAGAGGTTCCTTTTCTGGATGCTGAGAAACGGCTCTGAGCTCCGTGAAATCCCAAGACGTGACCGTACATTTCAAAGATGCTGTCATTTCCTCTGTCACCACGAGAGCAATTGAGATCATATTCTATGAGAAGAATTTCCTCCCCACCGGCGGCCGACGACAGGAAAACGAGAACCAATGACCTGCAAATGTCAGTTTTCCCTCTTGTACAGCCTTGACTCTTACAAATCACGAGCTGTGATGCCATGTCAAACCGTCGGAAGAAGCTCTCAACACTACGCCGATCGTCAACAATCTTCCTCCTGTCTCCCCCAATAGACTGAACGCAGTAGATTCGGCATATCGTTCCCGCAGGAGAGTTTAATTTTGCCTGAAGACCCCTCCCGGATATCCACGCAACTCCGACACAGAAGGAAATCCCGAAAGCTCATCCTATGTAGAGATCCCGGGGGTAGTGAAGGCGACGCCAGTGAGTGGAGACGTAATTCGACTCCGAAAACAGAGTTCAGTCTGGGGAATTCTGGGTAATGAGAGGTCGAATCGACTGTGTTTTAGCTTTCGGAACGGAAGCGAAGCGGGGTGGAGAGTTCGACCATGTCGAGCTGTCAAGCTACTACTCACTTGGTCAACTGCCGAGCTCGCGAGCCGTCATTCAACCATACCGAGCGGCAGGAATGCAGCAAAATTCGGGTTCGAGCCCCGTCCGTCAATCGGTTTGAAGCAAGAACGCCCTTCTTCAAATCTTGACTGATTATCAGTTATTGCTGTGACCGGTCACGAGCACTTCTCGTCACGGTCTCTGCGACCCTCTTCTTTTGCCCGTGTATACCCGAGTGCGGTTCCGGTATCATCGGCGCACAAGACTCGTCGCAAGAGTCATTTATCGAATCGGATTCAATACGTCCTCACGGTCAGAGCTTGATTTTTCCGTCGATTGTTGTGCTAAACGCAGTAACCTCGCGAGCTTAGCGGGCGGGAAACGTCGCTCTGAAACGCTTCGTCTGTATACATATGGGCTCGCGCCCCGGAGTCATGGGTGCTCTCACTGTTGTTCGGATATCTCCCAGCAGGAGCTCAGCAGGAGGTCCAAAGCGAAACAAGGATTGAGGTATTCAGGACAGAGTTGCGAGGAAGTGTCGCCAAATGTGTATTAAAAACACCGTTCTCGCTCATGGGTTCTGTGGTCTGCGCCGCAATGGCCGTCGTGCGTTCAATTGTCCAGAAAAAGGCTCCGATGAAACATTTCCGAGCCCCGCATTATTGACGGAGTGATAATTAAGAGAATTCCCTCGAATTCTCGACTGCTCGCAGGCTGCAATGGTACCTGCTTGTGAGCGGGAGCTCGCTCCTCGACGCGAGCATAAAATTGAGTTCCGTGGAGGATGGGAGAGGGATAGTACCTAGTTGAATGTACACAGACAGGGCACTCGATCTGAGCGCGCCTCTAAAATGGAATCAGACTCAATTAGCAGAGGGAGGACTAAATCCAGAACACGCGCCCGGGGGAAGAGAAACTAGTAGCACACGCTTTCGGTACGAGAACCTTGAAACCGTGCTCAGGGGAGGGTGTCCTGAACTGTCTTTTGTGCAGGGATGTCAACTGAGACTCGCCATATCGGATTGCATTGTTAAACTCTTGCACGTGAAGCGAGACTTGGATGACGAGGAGAACGATTTTCGTCATGAGCTACTACGAAGATGTCCCCCACTAGTTCTCGTCTCGTGCCCATTTACTTTCACCAATTAGACCTCGATCATAAGCAGTCGGACCCAACCATACGCTGCTGTCACGTCCTGGAGGAACGATGCATCAAGTGGAATAATTCGCATATCCCATCGTGCGTGTATGGACGATAGGACGTCCAGAACGACCGCACGATATTTGCTACCCTGTCGTGAGAGCTGTCGTATCGCCCGCCCAATCGAATAGGAAGTTTCGAAGGCGTTCTTGAACTCCTGATTCGCAATTGGGATGAGCTTAGCCAATTACTCACTCACTTTGTACCGTTCGATGTGTGTCTTTGCGAGAGGCGGAAAGTGATGGTCGTTCCCGTCGGCCTCTCGGTACTCTGCTTCAATGCTCCGAGAGGTCTGCACGTGCTTCAGCTCATGACGGTTCTTCTCTCAGCTTCCCTTATTTACCCCTAGGCCAATTTAGTAGCTGCTGCTGCTGCTGCTGCTGCTCCAGCTGCCGCTACTATTCACCTAAGGGTGTCAGCCTGGGTCGCCGCATCCTTGCGTCTCCATCGACTCTCAAGGTCCAAACCCTTTTCTGAGTCGTTATTCAGCGTTCCCTTGCATCGTGGTGTTGCAGGGCAAAGAGCAACACGGGGCGAAACAGCAGCAAATCGAAAATATCGGCGATAATCGTCCTCGATTACCGAAAGCGAATCGCCCCGGTCGAGAAGGGGCATTCGCTCACATTAGAGCTAAGGTTTCCTTCGATTACCCCGTACCGAAGAATCAAGCTGGAGAGCAGTGAGTGGCCGGACAGTGCCGACAGAAGCCGGGGGTCTCTCCTGCTCTCCTCCAACATGCAGTCCAAATGCTCTTAATCCTTCTGACAAACAGATTCTCAATATTGTCCGGCTGGTCGGGGCGGCTCACAAAGCTATTTCGCTCGACTGGGCATGACTCAGGTTGTCGAAGAGCTTTCAGCTCCGATTCGATTCAATCTAAACGTATTGATACGATCTTATGACAACGATGGCAATCAGAGCTAATTCAAATCGCGCTGAAAAGTTCGGTAGATGAGAAGAGAGTGGATGAGAAGACTCTCCGAGGTATCCGTGAGCGCCGCTATGCAGCTCCGTTCCGACTATTCAAACTTCCGTGGGGTGTGTAACTGGTGGTTGCGCAGTTCTCTAGGGAGACGATTGATCACAGCGATGCACCGCGCCGCCTCACTCGATTATGGCGGCGATCTGGGGGTTAGAATATGTTGTATATTATACAAGTCCCAGGTGATGTCAGCTGTGGGGACAGAAAGCGTTTAGAAGAAATTGATCATTGGGAATTAGAGGATGTTGCAGGAGTCCCGCAGCGCCGCATTTCCTGCGACGAGACTCATCGCGCGACGCGCATCATAAATTGATGGCACTGATATTGTAAAACGATCCATTCTCGACTCCGGAGTCCAACAATGTAAGCCATTATCTGGTTTTTCTTCACGTTCACCCACGGTTTGAATCCCTATTGTAACGTCTCTTGGGGTCCAGGCCTCTCGACCGGGTCTTTCAGGGACTCCTGGATGGTTTTTTCCAAGCGATTACAGAGACGAGAATTTTGAGTTCGATTGGGAGACCGTTGATCCAATACGGTGGATCTAATCGACTGGAGCTATCAGCAAGTCGTGGACGAGTTAAGGACAATTAAAGACCCACTCGAATTGATGTCACAGTTGCTTTCGATTACTTCTCCTATGAGCACTAGCTGTTAGAGCTGCTGCAGCCGTTGTTTCATCTGCTGCATCTGCTGCGTGACACACTCGTGTTTAGTAGAGCATGCAGGTGGCTTCAGCTTCTGTGGCACATTTGCTCGCTCCGGGTGAGGATGAGTCTCGAGAAAATAACAATCACTCTGCCGTCGTCATGGGCTCGAGTGAAAAGGATGTGCAACAAGCTGAGCCGAGCGCCGAAGTTCTTTACTCAACCTCGAGTTGATTTTGTACACATTCCAACAGACGAGGCGATTTCATTAAAACCGGGCACTAGCTGCCTGATTCCGTTGATGCGACGATAGCCCAGACTCCGGCTATTGATGAGCTAGAAGGGAGCCGAGTCAAGGGAAGCTGTACGTGTTGCTCACGAAGACGAGGTCCGCAGACTCGTCCGAGTTCGATGAAGAAGCCAATCGAAAAGATTGCTGTCAAGAGTCGCGTACCAATCCCGATCCGGATCGATTTTTTTTCCTACGATTTGATTTCGTCACTTGAGCAATATTCAGCCCTGGAGAAATCAACCGATGAGCCGAAACGACCAGGGAGGCAACGAAATTGGATCCTTCCCGAATCGACTTCCTTCCCCAACAAAAACCTCCGGCCTCCCCATGTTTGTCAGATTCCGGAAATACAGACTGCCCGTAGAAAACTGCTACCTGGGAATCATCTCCCGCGAGCAAGATAAAACCACTTTATTGCCTGAGCTAGCGACCTTTCCGCTCTTCAAGGGCATTGACTCAATCGAATGAACTTTGCTTCGTGGTTTGTAGGAGACGTGTCGTTTCTAGTCAAAGCAGTCCCAATGGATTCCACACTATTCGTTCAACTTCATCGTCTCAGGGTGGTATTCCCCGGAGCCCCCCAAACTGTCTCCGCATCAGGAATGGAGCTTGTATAACAGTACGAAGACGATGACCGCCGTCAGGCCGAGCATGATTTTTCTGGCGCGTCTTTCTTGTAGGCTCTCCAAGCGATAAGTGAATACACATCCGCCTTTATGCACGCATCCTCTCTTTTCTGACGGCCAACAGAAACGCGGGCTCACTACTTTCAGGATGGTGTCATCACGCCCGGGCGCCTTGTTATCGATCATGCAGTCTTCTGTCGTTCGCTGACACGTGACGAATTCCGTGGGAGTCAGACATTGATTTTCCTTTTCCCCGACACAATAGAGAAGTTCTGAGGTCACGTGTTCGGCGTTCGAGACATACGCTTCGACACTCTCGACGGGAACTTCTCCTTCCGGACAAGATGCGGGACCGAAGACTGCCGAGCTGGACGAACATATGACGCTGAGCAAGACCGAGAGGACGAACTCTGTTTCAATGGAGCGCATCGTTTTCCAAGAGGATCAGCCAACATATATTCTGTTTAGAAGATCAAGCTCGGGGGAATTCCTCGCCTCCTAGTCTCACGTTATTCGATCGGGATGCACATTTCTTTCGATGTGGCTTCGGATTCGAGCGGCCTCCGTGAGGCAACTCAGAACTGGAATGTCCCGGATCTGGAATCTCCTCTGGAGAGATCTCTGCATCCTTGCGGGGACGCTCTGTCGATAGATTTATTCGACACGCTCCTGCGTAGATTCTGATAGATGCACGTCAACTTCACCAACCCATTACTCAGTCGGTATCATGGATCGTCACAAACATGCAGCGGATGGACGCAAACGCGCGGACGTTGCCTAGGTTTGACATTGGGATTGGAGGCGTGCCGGACCCAGGCATGAACGATCGATGAAGACCGCTCTTTTTGAGGCGTTTTCCTGAACTCGAGTGGGGAGATCTACTCGATTCTTGAGAGATAATAATCGAAATCTCGAATGAATCAGATGACTCAAGTGACGTCGTGGGCTTTAAGTTCGAATAAATTGCTTTGCCTAAATAAGCTCCTTAGCTGTTCCGCTGCTGGTGCCGCGGCGGCGGGTGTATTGGGTGGTTCCTCTCTCGTTGTCGGAGCAACGGGGCTCGTCGTTGAGGAGAAGTTGAACGCCGAGATTCATATCTATGCCCTCTCGTCCGTCCACCTCCATCTCCACTTCCCATCGCTGCGTGTGCTCGTTCTTCTTGTGCTTTTCCACCTTGACTTCTGTTGATATTTGGCTTCCTGCCATCGAAGCCGTTTGAACGACTCCAGGTACTCGTCCTCCTGGCGGCTGGAGTAGCAGCAGCAGTAGCGACCCCCTCGGCCTTCCCTCCACCCGCTCAGACGGTCGGTGGCTCGTTTGGATGGTTGATGTTTATATTCCAAAGTGTGTTTTGGAAACGCCCCAGGCCACAGAGCGAATAGAGAGTGATAGAGGTTATTTTTTCGCCTCATCATATTGGAATATGGAGCGGCTCCATTGTCAAGAAGTTGCTCTACGCTGGCCGACTAGTCAGCCTCTCGGCGGACTAGAGAGAATACACAATTGGACACTCGCTCAAATCGGTATTGAAAATAGCTGCTCACAAAAGCTTTGTTTACCCTTCTGAAGAGACAAGAGAGTTTCTCATATACGTGCAACGAGCAGGCACCCGAGCGGCCCACCCACCTCTGCAGCTACCTATGTTCCACGTATATTTTTATACACCCTTTTCCGCGCAGACAAGTGCTGGCTGGCATCGACTTCACTCCGTCCGGCCGTCTGACTGACTGACTGAGTAAGAGACGAGCTACGCCCCATCAGAGAGGTGACATCTGTTTAGAGAGTTCAGAGGGTTTCACGTTTCTCGTTTCACAGCTCCGGGTCGGAGTCGGGAGACGCCACGAGAGCGACTGATACACTTCGGTGTGAAGCAGCGAAGACATGGAATCGGAAAAAAGAAACATTCGGTTGACTCGATTCCTTTATTTCAACAAATCGTTTTATTTCCAGTTCGAAAGTCCCCCTTGTCATCACCGAGGACTTCGATATCTGAAGAAGACGAGGACCCGCTGAGAGCACCGTCGAAAAAACACCGACGAAATAGGACGACATTTACGACCTATCAGCTTCACGAGCTCGAGAGAGCGTTCGAGAAATCTCACTACCCCGATGTGTATTCAAGGGAGGAATTGGCGTTGAAGGTCAATTTGCCCGAAGTCCGAGTTCAAGTAAGTTAACGCTTAGTTCCGGCCCGTGCAGACGTGGAGTTAATGAAATCGATCGCCGTAACGAACCATCGAGAATCATCGGGGAGCGCGCGTGCTACTGCCAGGACGGGGCGGGATCATCACTTATTTGTGCTGTATATCGCTAGCGGAATCGATGGATTGAATAATACAGAGCACGGGGAATAAGTCGACGAAAAACAAGTCTGTCGTTAACGACGACGAGTACAAACTTCAGTGTCGAGTCTACTGATACGTGAACGGAAAATTGTTGCCGTTGTCCTCACAAGTGCGGTTTTGTTGAACGCATCGCTCCACATAACCGAGTCGACGTGTGAAGCAAGAGGCCGAAATTATTCAATTATCCAGAATTGATGGGGTGCCCACGACGAACAACGTGCCACCCGCCAAACTACTATGAGAGCCCGAAGAGAGGTGTTGTCGGGGGGAATTGGGGTCGGTGAACGAGGATGGGTCCAAAATTAAAAACGCTTATTACCGTGCTGCTCCACGCGCCTGACCCACCGCAATTCCGCGCGAGGTTCTGCCGGCTGTCGACTTTTCCATGACACGCTTCCACGGGGCGAACTATGTCGGGTCCGTCAATTATGTAGTTTTCTCGATTTTTACATCGAATGGTGAGTGGGCTGACCTCCTTGCTGTGATCTCTTGTTTGCACCCAGTGAATCGAATGATTAATCAGATGATGATAGTGCCGGCTAATCGAGCTAGTATATTCGTTCACCGCTCCGCCCAGAGACAACGGCCGCTTCGCCTCCCTGCCTGTCCGTCTGATTGTCCTTCAATGTGTCTATCTGACCATCGTCTCTCTTTTCCACTCAGGCTTCATTTGCTAGCCTTGGCAGGCTTCGTGTCCAAGCTACTTGTTCTTTTTTGTACCCATTCGGCCTATTTGGGCTGTCTTCCCGACTTTGGCGTGCCTTCCGACAAGCCCTAATGCATATTTAGACGGCGAATGCACGCCATGCAATCGCTACATGGCTCACTGTGTCTAGTGTGTTAATTCACTAATAGAAACCCCTCACGAAACGGCGCTACTGATACAGTCTTCTCCCACCCGAGGCACGACCAAGCGACACAATTCCGAGGGAATTCGAGGGAGAACTAGGGTCGAACAAGCTTCGCACCATTGGTCGAAGCGATAGCGAGTAGGTCATATCCCCACGTTTTGTCGGTCTCGATTCCGGCATCGATTCTGGTAGCTAGAGAATAGTTTGACTTTGTCTTCCTCCGGGACCTGCCGGATTTCGCGAGCTTTCCTCCTTCTGGGTGACTTTCGAGAATGAAGAGCCGAATCCGTTGAACGGGTGAGAGCAAGGACGCGGCTCGAGGCAGGAGTTGATGACTCGCGCTCTTCAAACCCTCCCCGATTTCGTGACCGAGCTACGCGGCTGTGGGAACGGCCAGCTATATTTGACAGATAACAACGAGATCGCAGCGACATCACCAAACGAGAACGACAGTACCAATGGTAATGGGAGCTCTGCGAGCATCTCCCTTTCATGCATGGCTCGCTGAACAACAACCGCACGCATCGCGACCTCAACCCTCTGAAACCGATACGATCAACAAAGAAACCGCGATCTGGAGCCTCATCTCCCAATGTGTGGAGTCGCTGTACCTCATAGATTAGTCATTACACCAACTCACCTACCTCGATTGCGTTGCCACTCCATCAGATCGCGCTCCCGGGGAACTCGCTCATCAGAGCACTGTCTCGGCTCGTTTCTCCGGAAGTTTTACGCCCCTTCTAATTACCTACAAGAAAATGGAGTAGAGTCCACGCGGCCTGGGGTAGCAAGCGTACCGGCTGCCTGCATGAGCGAGAAGAATATTTTCAGAGCTTGACGTTGAAGTTCTCCGAGACGTGGAACAGTTGTTGTCAGGCATGCGGAAAAGCAGAGAGTTCCCCGAGACAACCCTTGATTATTCAAAGGCTCCGTAATGAAATTTGTGTCAAAACCTATCAAGCCCGCCAAGCCCCCGACCCTCAGAACGTGAGCACGGGACAACACGTCTCGACGACGCGACGCGCGCTTTTGGATTAGAACGGAATGCGGTGTGTCGGGATGAGTGTGCTTTATTAACGTCGAATTTATTAGTGAAATTAGATTGATGACTGCACGTCGTCCAACAGGAGGATCCAACCATGGGGGGAGCGGAGTCACATACTTTCACGCGCTCGTGCCGTTACCTTTGTTTGTCTAACTCCTTCGAGCTGGTCTGAAATTGGAGGTTTGAAAAAGAATGCCTCCACGATTCGCTATCTCTATAGAATCTAGTCATGGATTTCTCCATTTCTATTCAGGCCTTAGACCTTGCCGACGTCGCGAATAATAATTATTCTCGCTGGACGCAGAGCGCTGTTGCTTCTTAGCCCATGAGTCTGTTCCCCAGGCTTTCGCTGACCAGGCCACGCTCAATGCGAGCTCGAATTTTCTGGCAGCAGGTTGACAGCGCTTGTCCTTGACAACTTGGTCGTTCCGGGTTTGCGTCTCCAGAGCCTCAGAGCTCGACCTATAGCAATCGACGCAAGTGGATTACGCGTAATTAGTCTGGAGCTCGGAACGGACACCGAGAATGCCTCGGCGGATTGACCACGCGACATATTATCTGGAACAGGCGTCTAAGCTAGAATCCGGAACTCGCAAGACATTCACTCACTTTCGGCGTGATGAAATCAAAGCCTTCGGTAAACGTCGCTGTCCTCTCCTCAATGTTGGCGAGGGAGTCTCACTCACTTAGTTAAGTATGTTATTTGCATGGGGCAACCAAGAAAGTCTGAGGCACTTTGCTCAAGCCACTGTCGTTCTTATTAGAGCCTTGGGCAAGAGCAAATAAACTCGCCGTTCCTCAAACACGCATATAATATTATAATAAGAACACCACCAATAAGCAAAGTATTTGATCAATCAGATGAAGAAGACCACTTCGAGGGAGATAATCTACTTATGGGCTAATATCCTCAGACTAGGAATACTGAATCTCTATTCCGTACTATTTCCTCATCGGGAGTCGTACTACAATGAAATCGAGCTGGCAACTCCGTAGGCGAGACTCAACAAGGCCTCTTTTGCTTCAGGTATGGTTCCAGAACCGACGGGCTAAATGGCGTCGCCAGGAGAAAATAGAGAGCGGTGGAAATTGCTCGGAGAGCGGCTCCTTCGCGAGACCCCCTGCGACACAGATCTATCCCACGCTAGGCTCCCCGGACTGGATCCGGCATAGTATCATAGGTAACGCGCCGCCTTCGCATGCCTTACTGGCCGCAGCCGCTGTTACGCCCCCAGGACACGTCTTTCAGCGAAGGTGCGTATCGAAATGCAGTCGCTCGAGCGCCGGGGAGCAATCCCTGTCGTCGATCCAGGATGGCCCGCGGATATGAAGTCTTACAGAATGCTCGATTCTCGTTTTCCAGTTACTTCAATAGTCAGCAATTCGCATCGATACTCCTCAAGCCCCAGAATCCGAAGTTGCCCTCGACTCCGTTGAATCTCACCAAGGAAACCACGAGCGGACACGCAAGTCCCGAAAGACCGGGCAGCGCTGGAGGGAATCGTAGAAACGAGACCAGGGTCAAGTCCGAAGAGGAAAATGTAGATGTGGACGGGATCACGGAATAGAGAATAGGGGAGCGGCTCTTCATCTCGACCGAATGCGAGAAAGCTAGAGAGCTCCTTCTCCGCCCGAGGGAATACTTTCATCACAATCATGATCATCATCTCACCGCAGTTGTCTTCGCGCTTCAACAGTGGCGTCTTAGATAGCGTAGGCTTTCAGAGCCTTGTATTAGAGTTCGTTTAGGTGGATGCCGACGACATGCGCCAGTGCCTCTCTCAGTGTAAATATAGACGCAACCTTGCAAGCAATCTCTTCGTCTCCTCATTCCTTTACTTCGAAACTTAGCTCGAGGGTGACTAATCTTTCTGTTCTCCCTCCGGAAGCCTACTTCCTCTCGTGAAGTAGAAGCGGACACAAGGCTGAATTGAATTGAGAGCGAAATTACTTCTTAGCTCTCTAAGCGTCAGCATAAGTGTGAGAAGCGCTCTTCAGAGGCTCTCGTCGCCATCAACTCGTTTTTCCATTTTTCTTCGCACACACTCGCATTTTGTTTGGATAAGCCGCGGAATCTACACCGAGCTCGCAGCTCGGAGCCTGCTTCCGATCTTGCGAAGCGTATCGGAATGGTTTCCTCATTGTCGAATCAATCGATGTTCCTCTGTCAGAAGGTGATTAATTCCTTGATTCAATATGGAACCTAGTGAACGAAAAACGTCTGGAGCATCGGAGGGCGGAGAAAAATGAGTTCAGCAAAAGTATACAAACTCTGTGGGAGCAGGAACGTCCGGATTCGAAGAGATACTTCTAGTCAGATATCTCATCCTCACTCTGGAGAATCGCTGGGGAATCGACCGAGACCTTCGAGCCGCGAGGTGTTCGCACCACGATCACGGAGAGATATCATTGTGTCATCGAAGGGACACTCCATCAGAATTTCATCATTAGCATCACGGGATCTCACTGCTATATCCCATTGATTACATTGATCTGGAAACCGCGGCTTTGGACATCGATTATTCCCTGAAATTGATACCAGACTTTACGGCTCTTGGTGAAGATTTAGTGAATCCTCTGACCCCAATCTGGGGGTCGAGTTTTCTTAGAATTTATCCATTCGCGAGAGCCCCTCCCATCATGCACTATCGTACAGCTATGCAGAGACTCGGAAGCTGACGGTCGAAAAAAAACCTTGAAGGTACATGTATTGTTCAAGCAGCTGGACCACATATTCATCACGAACCGCGAGAGCGAACATCGTCACAGCGGTTAGGCGAGTCCACGTGTACAGAATCATACCGCTAATTAGACCCGGAATGGTGAGAATATTCAGACAGACTCTGAACTTTTTTCTTCCAACTGCGGTCCGAATTGTGATTCGTGAAGGAGACTAGCTGAATTTTTCTCCAAGAATAAACAAGCGCAGTCAACCCTCGACAAGCTCCGCGCGAGATTCCGACCTGTGAAGGGGGAGGATCGGGCTAGAATCCTCGACGGAGTCCCTGACGATATTCGCGCACAACGTCACCCGAAGGCAGACTCGTGCAGAGGAATAGAGGGCGCCATTATGGAGTCAAGCAGGCGCGCGAGCTCCTGGGGGAGCCGGAGAACGAGGGAAACGGCGGAGCGGGAGAGGGCAGAGCGGATTAAGTCAATTAGTGGAGATTAGTAATCCTTTCCTTACTTCGTTGCTTCCTTCGTTATAATTCTCAGTCATGCTCTTCTGCCACTCACAGTGGCTGACGTCCTGGCTACTCCTTTCGACCGAACCTCATCAGCATCCTCTGCATTAACAGATGACATCACGGGAGGGTGCCGCGTGCTCACCGAAAAATCTTTCCAATAAGGGTGATCATCGCGCTTCTTCGGAACTCTCTGCCGTTGCCGGGGCCTCACGACGGCAAATCGGCTCCAGAAATTCGCTTCCCGATAAGGATTTGAGTCGGGGTAATCTCCTGCGAACGGCATCCTTTGGCGGTGTCGGGAATTCCTATCGTCCGAACTAGGTCACACTCTATCAAGCTGCGTGGGATGCAAATTATCCGCTCTTTCGGATTGACCATCCCATAGCGAACCGGAGTTCATACTCTCCGATTGCTCTCGCTTTCAATGGTGCTGCTCATCTGCACCGCAGATTCACGTCTAATTGCTCAAATTCCGACTCGGGAAGCTTGGGCGTGCAAGTTCCTCGCATAATTACTCGGTCCTGAGTCAATCAGAGACAACTATTCTGCCCGTGATCGAATCCACAGACGGAGAAAGTTTATTGAGTGAACTGACATCGGTATGTTCATACGGCAGCAGTACGGAGGACTTCCGTAATCCCGGGGAGGCCGGATCCGATTGTATCGCGAATGCCATGGTGAAATATTCCGCCGAGCGAGAGAGCTCAACCCTGTTGACCCTTAGGCAGGAGACGGCATCAGCTGCCGCTCTCAATCCGGTTCCAACGGGCTCCCCATCGTTCGGAGAGGAACTCAGGATATCGAGGACGGGATCAAATTGTCTCGAATTTGAAATCCGGCTGAAAGAGGAGACATGGACGAAAATCAGGACCACAGTGTCTGGAGGATCATGAGCTTCTTGTGGGAAATTTTCAATGTGGATTGATCCCGGGAAACAATATCCCTGGATCACAGTGTTCAGAGCTCCGCTGATCTGCACGGGAAGCCGAGGGCTAAGCCGGATTCCATATTCATCCGTTGCTCTTTTCTGGCGAGCTCAAATGTTCTGTCTCTTCTGTGTACCTGTCCTGTTGCCGATTCGTCCGAGGAATGTTCCCAGGAAACCACCTTGGAGACCCTGCTTCTGTCTGTTGCCGTTTGTCGCATTGTTGAAGACTTCGTTCCGAGTTGAAAAAGAAAAGTATCATGGAGAAAAAGTTAAATTGTCTTCGTAGTTCGTCAGCAGTCTACGACCTACTCTGCAAAACTGAGACACCCGTGGAGAGCTTCCCTTCGAAGAAGAGACCTCACGGATTTCGGTCCCGCGGATCCATTGCGGAAATTGGGGAGCGTAGAATGATTGGAGGGGAAACCCAGAATGATTGGAAGGGAAACCCAGAATATACGGAGGGGAAACCCACTCGGCAACGTTGTGCCAAAGTTGAAGGCCGGTCTGTGCAGCAAGGAAATCACCGCAACGAGGCAGCGACGGAACTGTTGTCTCGGATGCATCAGAGATAAGGGAATCCCGTCGTAAAGTAAAAGAAGCCCAACCGCTGTCTCGACGAGTTTCTAGAGTAGAGATCCGTGTTCCCCTCGACCGCATAACGTGAAATCAGATGCGTAGAAAATCAAGTATTGTGAGAGCAGGACATTTCTGGAGGAGCCTCCCGGAGAATTTCGTTCCGTTCTTCCAGAAGTCTCTAAGCGGCACGAGTTGAGCCTGAACACCCAGTAGAATAGAGCATGCAATTAGTGGAATAGGGGATGATAGAACAAGTTCGAGGAGCTCGGAGACAGCAGTCTTTATTCCATATAAGATTTTTCCCTCCCCAGAAATACTTCTATGATCCGACTCCGACATCTCAAACACGCCTACCCTGAGCGAGCTGCTGGAAGGGGGCCAGAGCAGAATTCAGAAGCTGACCTCCTGTTTGAGCGAATCCCTGGAAAGCCTGAGTGCCAGCTTGCGCAAGCCCACTGAAAGCTTGGAGGGGCGCTTGAAGGAATTGTGTCGGTTGACCGCTCTGGCCGGTCCCGAAGTTCGGAATAAGATTCATTAAATTCGGAGTAGCGCCAGTGTTTGCAACAGCTTGGTGGACCCCTGGAAGTCGAGCAGGAAGATAATCGGATAAATCTCGGAGGATTCGGGAGATGTTTCACACACAAACACGAAAGAGATCGGCGATGGCGCCGACATGCAGTTTTTTCGAATTACGTAATGAGCCTTTCAGCTCCTGAAAATATTCGGCAGGAACAGGGTGTACAACGGATGTTATCGAGGGAAGTCTACAGTGCGACAAAGATGGGTCCGCGAGAAAAATAACTCACCGGGCGCATATCCGATTTTCGGGAGACCGACGGAGCTCAAGGCGTCGATAAAAGGGCCCGCCGTGGCTTGCGGAGCTTGTTGTGCCGAAGCCAATCCACAAATAGCGGCAACGAGCAGAATTTTACGATCCATGGTTTCGGTACGTGACTTGGGACCGCTGGTCATCAACTGAAAACTGCTGACGTCGAGCAGCATCTAAAAAGGCGTCGTGACGCCGATCTGGAGGAAGTGCGAGAGTTTTTCCAATCGGAGCTGCGCCAACCGAAACCGGAGAACGTCGTCTCGTCTCGTCAAGCGCTCGCGCAGAAGTTCTTGGCTCAGAAGAATGAGCATTCCGTTGAGCATTTCCACGAGCGCGCCCTGTCACCTTCCAAGATCTCTGTGTGTCATACCACCGAGTCCCATTCTCTTGACTTGATTCGAAATGTTTAGCACCCATTGACTTCACTTGAGTTTTCGCTGAATATGTATACGAACGGCCGAACGGCAATCAATTGTTGACACTCTGCCGAAGCAAGGAGCATGGGATTTTCCGCAGAGCGACGCGAAAATGACTCATCCCGTCGCGGGAAAGAGAAAATTATTGGGAGAGTACATTCTCTGATAGGAGCAATCAGCAATCAGTTACGCCTGGAAGAAAACTTCCTTCTCGAGCCTTCCACAAAGAGGCTCCTTTTCGTCAATCATTCCTTCTGATCACGAGTTTCGGAATGACACTCTGGAAATTTGGAATCTCGCTAACAAGGGAACATTACGAACTGCCCCACGCCGATTTTTCTGAAACTTTGCCCAAATAATAGTCCCACCGAGAGATGAAGAACCCCCACCATGCGAGCTGCCAACGCTCGATAGGGAGAGAATAAATCCGAGGTGTATTTCCAGGGTTTTTCACCGTATGAGGGTGTTTTTTCGAAGAAGAGATTCAAGAATGATGCCAGATAATTCGGAAAGCACTCTGCCCGAGAAAAAGGAAGCCGACTGGACCTCCCGGCTTCCGGACAATAGAACGACCATGTGTTCATTGCGTATTTTCGTTGCAGAAATGATGATCGGAATCGAAACACTTGACACATAGTGTCTTTTTACAATAGCCACAGATTATGAACGGCCACAGCGAGCAGCTCGCCGAGCAACACGCTCCGTTCACATCGGAGAGCATCTCGCGGGGCTCGGAAATTCTACCCCTGGGGCATCGAAACCGCTCCTACGCCAGGCACACAGCCTCATCGGTCGGAATCGCGGATGACAAAACTGAATGAATATCAAGGACTGCGACCGGAGAACATCGTTTCCAAGAAGGACTAGCAGTGAACTCTGCCCGAGCTCCCAAGCTTTAGTGAGCGCCCACATCCTCAACGTTCTGTCATGCACGATCAGGCCATGCGCGCGGGCAGAATCAAACGATTCCTTACAATACCGTGCGACCTTCACATAACGTTCGCGAAGCGTGCCGAGGTGCTCCCTGTACTGCTTGAATCGTCGGATGTAACCCCTGTCCCTGACTCTCCTGAATGTATGTTGAATCGAAGCGAACGAGAACCTCCCGTGTTGGTCAATGAAGTCGAGCACCTTGCAGATGTAGTCGTACGAGAACAGGTCGTTCGAAGCGGCATCGTATACGTCTTCGAAGACGGGATCATACTCATCTCCGACATAGCTCGACTCGGAGTTCGTCAATCTCTCCAACTGTGGCTTCGCCTTGATTCTCAAAATCTTTCACTGAACTGAGGATGTTCCCAGCCAACTTGACGGTACTTGGTTCCGCATCGTCGCCGGCGCTCTCGTTCAGACTTAAGACATTCAAGTGTCTTCGAAGCAGAATTAACAACGATTCCGCGGACACTGACATTGCAGAGATTATTGGAGCAATTCAGAACAGCTCAAACTGCGATCTATGCGACTCGCGCGGAAACCGGTACGATTCCGCGATCGCAGACGTTTTGTGTGAAGACAACGAAGTTCTCCCGAGAATCTACTCGGACTGTCGCTCTTTGGCGCGCTTTTCAAACACGAGAACTTCTGTTCTCCGATATATCAGGCATCATTCTTGAATCTCTTCTTCGAAAAAACACCCTTATACGGTGAAAAACCCTGGAAATACACCTCGGATTTATTCTCTCCCTATCGAGCGTTGGCAGCTCGCATGGTGGGGGTTCTTCATCTCTCGGTGGGACTATTATTTGGGCAAAGTTTCAGAAAAATCGGCGTGGGGCAGTTCGTAATGTTCCCTTGTAAGCTACATTTTTCTCTGGACTAAAGCGCCCTCGAAGAATTATGAGGAAATGTCAGCTCCGTCCTTAGCCAGGAGGCGATCGAGTGAGACGCTGGCTGAAGGGAGACCACAAATGCCCGCGAGCACGATTTCGAATGCTTCAAAGCGAAGAGCTAGACTTCTGCGGGTAGAGGCGGCATTTTCTGTTGCGCATGAGTTCCTCCTCCTGGTCGGTGATAGCCGGTGATGTAATCGATGTTTTCATCCGAAAATAAACGTTTATCGCAGGCAGAATGCACTGAAGAATACTCCCCTCTCCAGCGTTCTTATCGGAAATAAAGACAATCCCCTCTCTGTCAATCGCCAACGCGTTAGAGCCGCAGACTTGAGGAGTTTCTCCGAACTTGTCGTCGCGTACCACGTTCCCGCAGGCCGCTTCAACCAATCGTCTGATTATTCATCGCAGCTGAATTATTAATTACTACTCCAGATCGTTCGGAAAAGTTGATTCGGCCAAGAAATGAGCCGATTCCATGGAAACTTTCCCGATGGAAATACCGGTGTATGCCGAGGTGTCATACCATAGTCTCACCACTAGATATTTTCGGGAGAACCTCGGACGTCACGATTGTTTCTGGTCCTTTCCGAGAAATAATCAGGGAGTGAAGATAAGGGTCAAATCATTTCCGCTCTGGTTCGGGGAAGCATGCAATCGGACGGATGACGAATACGGAAAGGGATGGGTCTGCTCACGGGGTGGAAGAGCTGCTGGATCCGAGAACCTGGACGCTACGCTCAAAATGAGCGGGACTTGACGCTTTCGGGAACGATGCACTCGCTCATCATCTGAAGAGCAAAAACCACCCCTACGGAACGATGGAATGAATCGAAAGTCTCCCGATCTGCCCGAGACATGGACGTGACGATACGAACTCTGAACAGGCAGCTCTGACCTCGCAGAGCAGGTTCGGAGGAGAAAGTGTTTATCGGACGCTCTGTTGTGTCTGAGAACATTGCCGTCTGTCGAGGAATTCGCTCCACGTGGAGAAATTGAAGCAGCGAGATAACACACCAGGATGATTTACTTTTCACAGATTCACGAGCGGCTGTCTCGAAATCAACGCCGGCGAAGCGATTCGGAGTCTCCGATACAAGAGACTGGAATAATTTATGCTATCAGAATACCGTTCCCGCAGACACGAATGAAGCTCCACGATGCGATTGACTTCGGCTCGCTCCACTTCTAGTGCGAGGGGAGGACTTCGCCCTCGGGGAAGGGGATCGAATGCCACCAGATAAAAGACCCCGTACCCCAACCACGGTCGGCCAATTTCCTGCTGAGATCTCGACGTAAGTAGGCGATCATCAGCCGTGCTTCGGTCGAGTTCGCGCACTGAGCAGCGAGAATACAACGACTCGGAGCACGGACAGAGAGCGGCTTCCTAATCTCAATTTGACTTACCGACAGCTCCAACAATGAGCAAACTTATCTTCGCTGCTATTCTCGTCGCCCTCGTGGCTTGTGTTTCTGCCACGTTCTACGCCGGCATCGGGTACGGTCCCCGCTACAGTTACGGAGTAGGATTGGGCTATGGTGTTGGAAGCTACGGATACGGACTGTCACGTCCCGTCTACTCCAGCTACGGATATCCTCGGGCGTACTACGGGAGCTACGGGTGGGTAAAGAGTGCGACCTCGTACAATATCCACTCCTGGCCATTCAATGTGTATACATTCTTATCACTGGGAAGTCCAATAATTTTTTCTATTCAGGTACGGTTATCCAGCCTACACAGCAATCCCTTACGCTTTCTGATCGACTCCAACACCCGACTTCTGGATGCTTTCCCTGATCGTTATGATTTGTCTCAATCGGCATGACGGCTCTTTTTCGACCCGAAGATTCGCGCAGTGAAGAATTGGAGGAATAAAACTTGGTTAGGACGACCCTTCGACAGCAGACGTTTTCTTCTGTTTTTCCAACCTATGGTTCGTCTTATCATTCGCTCTCGAAGGTCTCTCTCTCTTTTGAGGAATTTTAATCGGAGCGCGAGAATCAAGCCCCCTATGCTGAACGAAATCCTGTCTTCGAGATTTATAGACAGATCGATGTTCTTGGCTCCCGCAAGATGCACGCGGAAGGCTGGGGTTCAGGTTCGAGAGATATATCCACGACGCCGCGCTCCACATATAATTTTGGCGAATGAAGAACTCCCTCGAACAGCATCAAGAGCTCAAGCATCCTCGGGGTGTCGAGCTCAACTCAAAAAAGTCCGGAGCCCGCAGTGGTCGCCGCGGCCCTTGACACTCACTGTCATCTCTTCCTCTCGTCCGCTCGCTCGATCTCGACTCGCTCGAGTAAGAGAAGTCGGAGCGAGAACAAATAATAGCGATGATGTTTTGAGCTGTTGATGAAGATGACTCAGTAGGAGCAGTTGGGCTCGTGTGATTTAATTTCAACATGTGCGATTACCAGTGGTGTTTTAATATCGCCTACTTGAAGGGCACTGTTGAATCAGACCTGACGACAGAAACCCGCTGTGTAAGTGCTCCACGCCAGACTAAAATGGGCGGACGATTACAATTTGTGTAAACTGTTGTGGGACAGGTGGTGAAGTGTGAGTTCACGATGAGAACACTTCTCTCGAATCTCTTGACAAAGTGCAGAGGGGAAGGGGGGAAAGAGGGGGAGAACCAGTGTGAATTAAGACACGAAATCGATTTTATGTCAAGGGTCGCGTTCCTGAAGACCTGAAAGCGGCGGAGGGAACAGCGAGATCCGAAGTGCCGCGGAGGGTTTATTCGACATCGAGGAGGGGGAGGGAGGGTATAGCATGTGTATTCACCGATGGCCAAAGGCAATGCATGCCGGTATAAGTGACTCGAGTTATAAATCACTTCGCGGTATATTAGAAGGGGCACCAAACACCCTGCCCTCCTCTAGACGGAGAGCCCATCTCGGTCCGAGCCCCTCTTCAGCCCGAGTTTACAAGATCTGATTCGAGCTAGATCGTCGCCAGTCGATGTCAGAACAAGGTGTGGATATCATTCCTGCTTGACAGTTGAACAATAACCGTCTCGACATGATCATCCTCTCTAACAAGCGAGCAGACAGGCGAGCAAATAGATCATGTCTTCGGCTCAAGTTGCAGTTTCAGCGACACCGCGCGCTCGGAGCGCAACCGAAGAACCACTGCAGTCATCCATCCGTCTGCCGCGGAGACAGTCAGCCGCATTGTCTGATTGGGACTATCATTTGCTGGAGAGACACGATCTTCGGTTCTCGTGTTTTGTGTGTTGGCTAACGATCGCCGAATTCACTCGACGAACAATATGAGCTCCTAGACGGATCATCGAGCCGCGAACGAAGACACTTTTCATGGGTCCGGGCCCACGAGATGTCATTCTCGCGTTGCGGGCCGTGTGGCATATCCGATCCGGCTCTCCATCCTTGACATTATCTAGCGCTGGATGAGATCTGTCGCCGGTATCGGTATCAGGCAGAAGTTCAAAAAAACACTCGGAGCAGTCTCGAGAAACTTAATCCCAAAGACACAATGGAACGGATAGAGGGCGCTGAGTTGATACACTCTCGGTCTAGACAACCAATGAGAAACACTGAGCGGACGTATGGAGTCGAGAACGATGCGAGCGATTCTCCAGACGTTCGTTTGTCTTCGCAGTCCGAGACCGAGCCTGCAATGTCCTCCTGAGGACGAAGAGAATTTAAATCCATCTGATCCGATTTCTCTGACCGTGGCGATCCGGGGGTGCTCGCGCGGAGATCCTCCGGAAACGTATGATTCCAGCGACATGCTTCCCAAACTCAAGTGAATTCGACGTTTCGCTCCCTATCGCTGATCTTGCTCGAGTCATTCAAAGAGCACTTTTCCGAAACACGGGTCGACAAGTCGAACGATAGGCACGTCTCCGAAAGCTCTGCACGCGAAACGGAGACCCCTCGACGGATCTTTTTGGAGAGGTCTCAGTTCGATTTGATCGTGACGATGAATTATTCTGGCAGGGAAAAGTCCAAGGAAGCCGACGACAGTCCCAAGACAGGTACCGTGTAGCTGGATAGCGGCGTGACCCGTTTGGGAGAGAGCTAGACCTTGGGATGGATACTACGGCATTTATAGGTCCTAATAAATTGAGAATACACTGCTGAAGACACATCCGGAAGAGATATTGGGAGCGGGGATAGAGATGTTGAAGATCGAGATTGAGGGAGTTAGTAAGCGAGCGACCGGCTTGCCGACTGGTGCTCTAAAAAAACCGGAGGTTGCGCCGGAAGGAAGCCGCCAAAGAGCGGAAACCGGCTTTAAATAAGGGCGCCAAACGGGACGTTGGAGAGCCACCGGCCCGAAATAGAGGGCTGCAAACGGAAGTTAGGGGAGACGAGATAATAACATACTTAATGAGTAAATTAGGGCCAGATTAAACATCAACTCTCTTCCGCCTCTTCTACTAAACGCTTTGTAAACTCCTCGAGCACGGCTCGGCGAGGCCATGCACTCAGCCCACGTGCCCGCCTGCCCATAACCGCGCGCTTGCACTGTTGGGCCTGGAAACGAGGGAGGCTCCGAGACGAGAATTCTCGATCAAGAGGGACCATCGAGTCGATGTCACGAACAGATCCCCGTGGCCATTTCCACTCAGATGAATTAATCCCCATCAGTTGAATTTACTGATTCCGCCCTGATCAGGTGAGTTAACCGCGATCAGATGAATTCATTGCATGAATCCGTGATGGCATCGATTTCATATTTGGAGGGGGAACTCAGAGGGAGATCTCTCGGAAAATTCCGCCGTCGGGACGCGGCGCTCCAGGAAGTATCGAGTTTCGTCTCCTTCGAAATAGAGACATTTTCTGAGCCGGTGGCAGAGACTCTGTTTTTCCGCGCGTGATTAACTCAGAATAGCGTTTGACTGTTGGATTCGGTGCCGCTCTATCGGGACAATAAACGAAGTAATTCAATTGGTGATGCTGCTTCCTTGCCTTGATTAGTCTGAGGGAAATGAGTGGGCTAGTGTCGGCAGGGAGCCGCCGCTGTAAGTCGCAGCAAACGACGACGGTGGGGAAGCGGGAGCTCACCCGGACTGGCGGTGTGGATTTATTCTCTCGAACTGCTGCCCTAGGGCGGGATTCTTTTACCGAGATTCCAATAAACTGTTTCTCCCGTTTCTCTCGGAGACCGCCTCAATAAAAGTGCTAATCCTCTTCTCAAACAACCTTTGGGCCGTTCGTGTCTTCAAGAGTTCTGTCTCCTTCGTCGTCGTCGTCGTCACACCCTTCTCTGGGACTAAACGAAATTTCTCCGTTTTGAGCCTTTGACTCTCGACACACCCGTGCAGTTCCGCTTCATAACTCCTCCAACTTGGCTTTTCCTTTCCGCGTTCTGTCCTCGGCCGTGTCACTGATAAGGTGATCAGAGAAAATGCTCATGTGGAGTCGGCGGACTGATTTATCTCTGGGAGTTTCAGTCCGATCGCTCAGCACGTAATATCTCTCCTGTTTCCCGACGCTTACCTAATAACATCAAGAGACGACCGATGTACTTAACGGATCTCGACACCGTTTATTGTTTGATGTTTCACAATATCAATAATTGTTCACGTCAGCAGCTCGAAAAACTACCTACGAAATTGCACTCCGCCATACATATTCAAGCTAGGCCATTGAGTTTGTCCGCATCTGTACATTGATCCTCAAATCAGAGGAGAGGACCGTATCGTGATTCGCCGGGGCCGTCGCCGGCGCAAATTCCTGTACATTGGTTTCGTCATTCTCGCCTTGTGCTAAATCTAGTTATTCGCAACTTCAGGTTCAAGTTTCGGACTTCGGGGAGGCGAGCTCAGCGCCGCCTCGCTCTCGTCCTCGACTTTTCTCCGCAGCAACTCAACAGACGTCTGTTGACTGAGCAGTAGCGGATTCGGCAGACTGTGGAAGGGAACGCCCGCCATGTACAGCAATTTTTGATTCCAGTACGGCAAATGCCAATCTCCTACTCCCGGGAAATGACGTGCCGCCTGCTGGAGCTGAAGTTGATGTGCTGCTACGGCTACAGCAGCTGCTGAGGAAGAAGCCTCCGTGGGTAAGCCATATTGTACTGGACTGTCGCGACCCATGGCCTTCTCGCGTTTTCGATACTTTGCTCGCCGGTTTTGGAACCATACCTGGAATCGGAAGAGGCTGTTTCAGCTGAGAGAGAAAGATTTCGAGATAAGACACAGAGAGAACTCTACGTTGAAAGTGAGCTTCCCGCCGCCGCCCAGAAAAAAAAGCTCTCAATCCTTTCTCGGCGCATCGATCATCGTTCACAGGGATAGATAGGGATGTGTAAGAGCTCTCGGCCGAGCAACTCTTCGAGGACAATTAGCCTAACAGGCAATGATCCTCGACACAATATTTGCTGTCTGGCCCAATCACAAACTAGAGAGCTGGCTGAGGGAAGATGCCTCAACAGATGTCCATCCCCACAGTCAACTTGTCTACTCTCTTTATCTGTCCTCTGGTCTGTCCGTCTGTCTGAGCGTCCGTCCATTCGTCCGTCCGTCCGGCCGGCCGCCTAGCTTCTTGAGCTTACTACTACAAGCGGCTTAGCCCACATTAGCCCATCATCCACAAGAATGGAAGGAAGCAAGCAAGCAAGCGAAAGAAGAGAGAGAGAACATCTTATCCACCGCGACTCAAGTGGCTTGCTTGCTTTCTTCTATTCTTCTGTCTCGGGGAGTTTTCTTTTCGCAGAGTTCTAGTCTAAATAATGTCGTCCATCAGAAAGCAGCTTTCGATCAAGCAGAAACTACTTGTTGTGGAGTTGATCTTCGCAAACCGAGCGAGCGGACGAATGAACAGGAGAACGAACACAATTTCGAGATATTGGCGATCCGAAAGCTGTCGCGTGAGCTAAACGATATGTTTTAATAAGGTCGCCTCAAAACAGCGATGCCCGGAGGTCAGATCTGCTCTGGTGTGAAGTCTGATCAGATCATCATCGATCGATCATAAACAATATTTGAGACAAGTTTACTCTGTGTCCAAATAACCTCAGAGCGAGCAGATGTCGGAATGTAAACACAGTTAGGACTCTCACATCAACACCACGTGTTGTTGTTGTTGCCCGAAGCTACTGATCGTGGGATGACAGAGCGTTTCCGATCGGTCGCCCGCTCGAGCTCTACGACGTCGACCATTCTTTTTCTCAGGTGACACTACTAATCATAACAGAGGATTCCAGCGAAGGGAGAAATGACTGACAAGAAGGAACGCGCATAGGAGTCGGAACCGGGAAGAAACGCGGCTCTCTCACGCGGAATTTGGTCTTTGAGATCGTATACGCGCTGATGGCCACCCACCATCGGACCATCCTCTCAGCACAGCCACGAGAATCCTACTGGAGCTCTCTGAACCATTTGGGCAGGTTTCATTCGATACCGAGCTGGACACTGCACAGGACTCTGACCCAATGCTAGATTTAGTTTGCTGCAGGAGTAGGATGCTGCGCTGTCAGATAACCGGATAAACGCTGAGCAATTGCTCCTCATTTCAAAGGTGAAGTGATTTCCGATCGCAACGAATTCATTTGAACTCGATTATCAGAGAAGGGAACGGAAGCGGGGGACATGGAAGAGAGCTCCGGCCGGGAGCGAGGGAACAAGGGACACCCCAGGCCGGCCGTCGAGAGAGCAGCACTTAGTTTCCCTTCTCAGACAAAACGACAGCGGCGATGACGCTGATTCGCAATGACACTCTATGACAACTCCCACTTACAGCAGCGAACCTTCGGACGCACAGACCGAGAGGGACCATTGATTGGAGCAAGAGAATTGGTCGGAAAGCAACCCACCGAAGCAGACTAAGTGCTATGAAGTTTTTCCAATGGGAAGCCCGGAAGGAGAGCACAAACGACATTATTCCCTCGCTCTTCGTTTCCTATGTTGCGATTTCGATCGTCTGGACGGTCGAAGACGTTGAATCGGTGAGTTCGGCACGATAGGAGATCGTATGACAAGGATAGAGCAGTCCGAGAGGGGGGGCGAGGGCGGGGAGGGCAACGAGTTATCGCAATGCGAATCCGAAAAAAGGCTCGAACTAGGACTAGCTGCTTCCGCAGCGCTTGGCGCGAACCCGGTAGAAGCCGTCCGGGCGGAGCGGTCGCCAATCCGTGGAGCCGCGACAAACAGCCATGGAAGATTGACAGTCGGAAATGTTCCCTCGGGTTTGCGAGGACACCTCTATTCTATCACCTTGTTTCACTGTAGGATTCGTTCCCGATATCGAATCAGAGGAAACTGGTCCCCGCTAGGGAAACTCCGCTCGGCTGGCTCTTGTCAGTCCGATTCACGCGCCGGCCGAGTTGAGAAGATGGCTCCGTTGCCGTTCGTAAACCGAATAAGACGACCGGCAGTAAAGCTAAGAAAGCAGACGTGGGGACGGCCTTTGGCGAAGGTAAGCTGTAAGCTTCGAAAGCCAAGACAGGGTGGAAGACGACAGCGCGACTGGGGATGGCAGGATGGGGAAGAGAGGAGGGAAAATGTCGGCTGAAGCCACTTGTCGGAAACACTTCACTCGAAGAAGATCCAGTGCGAGACTTTCGGATGGAGGAGATTACTTCAACGAAGTTCTCTCCTGTACTCTTCCGCCTGCTCTTCAACGCCATGTCCTGCTCTCAAACTTAATCGTTCTACGCTTTTCCCACCAACCGTCGACGATTGACATGTGGTGGTTAGCGACTCAGATATATGTTCCGAGTCTACGGTCACCGGACTGAATGAGGGGTCTACTGACCGGTGGCGCTTCGCAATAGGGTAAGAAGGCGAGACTTGAAATCTCTTCGGGTAACCCGCAATGCTCACCTGAACTCTGGCTTCGCTCAAATCCAAACGTAGAGCGAGTTCTTCTCTGGTGAAAACGTCCGGATATTGGGTCTTCTCGAAAGCTCTCTCGAGCTGGTGCAGTTGGTAAGTAGTGAATGTTGTCCTGCTGCGGCGTATCTTCCGCGAAGGTTTGTCGTTCAAATCATCGTGGAAACTTCTCTCATCTTCAGAGGATCGTGTCACAGGTGAGACGGCAGGCGGTGAGAGGACCTCTCTCTCTTCTGCAGAACAACAGGCTCAATTAGATTCGGAATTCGAGTCCTTTCGACGGCCAATAGAGCGGAGGAAGGATTCGGCTCTGACGACTCAGGGCACGAATCTCGAGGCTCTGAACGTGCACAGAGACATTGAGAGCTTGTTTGACACCATATACCGCTTTCGTTGTCTGCGATTGTGACGGCGGGAGCTCAGAAGCGAACGAGAATGAATCAATTATTACACGATTTCTCCTTTGAGAGGATTCCGTCAAAGAGTTGTCAAGAGTCTTCTCCCTGACGGATAGTGCCGGATTTGAGCTCAAATTTTTGATTCCCCAATTGAATTAGCTTGACGAGCGGCGTTTCTGGACCTCTTCTCCACTTCCCCCATATAGGAGTATACTTCCTGATTATCCAACACAGACAACGGGAGCAATGATGCCGTTGGAGCCGAATCGTACCTCTTGGTTCTTTGCAATCTAAAGTATATGGCTCTACTTGCCATCGAGAGCTCTTGAGTGCGGATGCGCGAGTCGAGCTCAATTATAAATGCTAACCTTTTTTCGGTCCGCTGAAGTCAAGCACTTCATGTTCCGGAGAATGTTCAACAGGCGATTTCGAAGAAGATTTCTTCAACAGTTCCTCAATCGAATAGAAAGCGAATCGCGGCTGCTGATTCTGCGTTACTACCACACCACTCATGGTCCCGCTCGTGGAAAACCGAGGCAAACAAACACGGATGTTGAAACCTATCACACTGCACCGAAAACTCGTGGTACGGAGAGCGAAATTTCAATCAGACTTCGTAAAGTGGGTGCACACATACAGAAGGATCACCCGGGCGAATGAACGATCGACCCACCGACTGCGTGGCTACGAGAAGCTCAATGTTAGCTACAACTGTCGGTGAATTCGAACTCGGTGAGTTGAGAGTGAGTTGTCTCGGAGTCTTTTATCTCCATCCTCTAAGGGCGGTCTCTGAGCTCAGCTCCGCCTCTGGACTCCATGCTTGGCGAGGACGAGTGGAAGGGAACCAGATCTGGACTCCGGCAACTGCAATGAGCCTAAATCATCAGTCGAATAACATCATGTTCCCGGAGGAGAAGGATGATGATGATAATGTTGTTAAAACCAATTTGTTTCAGCACGGCGCTCGGGAACAGCGAGAATTCGATTCTTCCACTTGCTTTGCATCGGCTCCCTATATTGTTCTTTCGTTTTGAGTTCGAGGCAGGGTATATCTTAGACATTCAAAGACTGATGATCCTGTAATTGAATTCTGTTCTGCCCGCAATCGCTGATTCCCCACAAAACGGGGAACACGATAGATTCGGAACGGGAGTAGATACGATTCAGCAAAAGATCTGATCTGAAGCCCGAAATTCCAGACTCATTTCCTTTTCCCTTGCCTCCCACCTGACCGCAAAGTTGGAGATTGTCCGAAAGATGTAGATCGGCGTTGTTGCTCCTAGTTCTCACTCGGGCTTGCGACTGTAAGCGACGGCAGCGGATTCGGGCGCAAAGCGAGCGACTTCGGAGCGTCAAGTTGCATGTGTGTTGCGCGAGGAGCATCGGTATTGACAGCTTGCCTCGAAATCCATTCGATCGGTATGAACGAGTAGCTGCGCGAGATCGGAACTCCCGTGGAATCTAGCGAGGCGGACAACAGATCCACTGGACTCCCTCCTCACCGATTCTACTCCGCGGGAAAACTGCCCAGGAATGAGCTCAAGTAAGGGCTCGTCGACATTGCCTCGGTGGGATAGAACGTCAAAGGGGCTACCTAGTTCAAATCATACGAGGCCCCGTCGAGGCGTTCTTAGCCCAAAGGTTTGTTCCAAGTTCGCTTGCCAAAGTTGCCTTATTCCAAGAACCCGTACCGGGGACTCCGTTATAGAATCCCAGCCCGGGTCCTGATATATCACCATTCCGCACTCAGTTCGGATGGACCTAAGCCGAACGCGAACAATATTCGGAGGATCAGGACCTGGCTCGTAATCATGCACCACGCGAGTCGTATAGGTCGATAAACCGCGGAGCGATTCCACTAGAAGCCTCCATCCGTTTGCGCTTCGAAGCGGGTCTCGAGTCTCCTCTGACGGAGAAAATTCCTCGCTGAATCTCGAACCTCATGAGGGAAACCAATTCAAGGACCATTCCATCTATTCCATACCGAAAGCGTCAAGAATCCAGATACAGTGCGCCCTCGTTTTCGCGGTCAATTGGTTTCGAGGCCTTCCGCGAAAATCGAATTTCCGCGAATTTGAAGTCCCTTTTTTGAGAACTCCTAATTTTTGATGAAATCTCGCCGATTTCTCCCGGGACCTCCATAAACTCTCACAACATCCGCGAAGAGCAGTTGATCGCAATGACCGGGAGGATATTATTGTTATCCACATACGTGTATCCGTGTATGTACATATGTTTTAGAACGAGGGCCGCGAATTTTCGAGACCGCGGGTATGATACCGCGAATAATCGAGGGCTCACCATCCACCATCCTGCGAATATCAAGACCGCGGAAATCAAACCGCGAATAGTCGAGGGCTTACTGTACACGCAGTAGGTACAAATCTCGAGCTTCTCTCGAAAATAAAGCAACAATAAATCGAGCACGAATAGTGCCAACGCTCAGTCGGGTAGACAGCAGTTTCCACGCGATTTTCCCAGAGTACATCGATCGGTGTCTGTCCTTCTGCCCATAATATATTCACTTGCGTTGGCAAACCCTCATAAATGAGGATAAGATCCCTCATACCGGTCCTTGCATAATCCCGACACAGGCCCCCTAGGTGCCACTTGCACATTACACACATCATCACATCAGGGCGACGGGACAATTTTCCCTCAGCTGGAAGTCGGTTAGATCGTTTAGTATGTAAATGTTCAGTACAATGCTCGATGGGTGCTTCCTGTGGGTCTTCTTAATGTTGCAACCACAAAAATGCAGTTTGTCGCCGCTGCTCCGATCGCTCAGCCGCTCTCTCCGTTGTTCGTTCACTCGATCGCTCGCTTGCTCGCTAGTGGCTCGTCTGATTGTCTACCTGAGACCGAAGCGAGCTTCCCGGATAGACGAGGATCCAGTCTGCCAGATCTCGCTGTAGATTAGTCCCTCGATGAGAAATTCGATAATCACACAGAATGTACTCGTTTCATAGCCAGTCAACTAACACTGATCTCTGCCTCGAATGAGAGGTCTGGGACCATCGGAAACCGAATTCAGAGGCGATGGCTGATCGATATAACGAGTGATCAGACACAAATGAAGACGATTTACGTCCTCGCGCTCTTCACGTCGCGGATTCGAGCGTGAGTGGTCCGACCTACACTTCTGAGCCGCTCGCCAAGAGAAGCCTTGTCTTCTCTCGGATTGAAACACGGAAATCCCCGTGTCACTCTTATTGTCCAGCGGGACAGATTCCCTGGGAACTCGCTGATGACTCTCCATGGAATAGCGAGGACTGGCGAAAGAATACATAATAATCAGAATTATGGAGTAGATGTTTATGTCCTGAGGAGCGCACATCTGTCAGCCAGCCGACAGAAACCAGCCAAGCTCTCTTTCTGACTGTTCTCACTCTCTCTCTGTGAAGGGTAGAGCTAATCTCCGAGATACGATCAGAATGTCGTCAGTTGATCAGAGTGGCTATTGCCCGCCTGACCGACCGCCTGGCCGAATGTAGTTTGCAATTCAATCCGCGAACGGCCTTGAAGATTAGGCATCATGATTGTGCGACATTATGCCTTGCTACCAAGCCATAACAATGAGGCGTCACCAGCCGCCTTTGGCCTCTTACGCAGCTGGAAAAAAAACGCGCGACAAACTAATCGCCGAAGCTCCGTGGTCGATGCGCTCGTCCGACGACGCCTCGATGACAGATCCATCGTCGAAAGACAGCCATGGAGAGGGAAGAGAGTCGGGAACTTCCCGTGGACTCCGTAGACTTCAAATCAGGACTTCGATTCGGCAGGAAAAGCCCCGAAGCCGGGGCGAAACCGAATCAATTCCTGAATAACGGGCGCGCTGCGAGGAGAATGGATCTATTGAAGGAATGAATTCTGCAGCTGACATTTCGACATCCGCACGCTGCGCATTCGATTGGCCACCGATCTGAATTTTCTTCACCGCTATCTCTGCACTCGCAACCACCTCCGCCAGCCGCGAGTGAAACTCGACCGTAGAGCCAGCCAAGCGCATTTTGCATAAACATACCTAGATTGGGCCGATCATACTGAGTGAGATGGACTCCTGCGCTTGGCAGATGGAAGCGATTGGAAAACCCGAACTCCGGGATCATGAAATAACCGTATGATGAGATTCCGATGTCGGTGCCGCAGAGTCTGCCCTGAGATCCCGAGTAGGGCTCAATGAGATTACGCCTGAGGAAAAAACCTTCCGATATGCATGGGCATGACTTCATTCATCGGTTTGTTGCCAGGGGTGTCGTCTCTCATGTTGCCTGAGAACCAAGGCATTCCAGAGGACGCTCACGGGCCGCATCGCCGTGAGAGCTTTATTTTATAGCTCTCGACGGGAGGTTGAACGGCAAAATATTCCCGGTAGTGGTCCCCTCGGAGTGCAGCTTATCAGTAGGTGAGCCTTCTCGAGCGAGCTCTCTTAAATGGCGACAGGTCGCTTGTTGTGGAACCTTGATTTAGAGTTAGCACAAAATATATTTAATTCACGCACGCCGTAAAAGCTAGCGGCCTCGTCGGTGGGAAATCTACGTTGCCGTCCGTAACTTGGAATTAAGTCATGACGTACAGATTATCAGTGAGGATGCGCGGTCATCACGGCTCCATACAGATAATTTGTGATCGCACCCAAAAGTTGTAGCGTTGGTGCCCTCCGCGTGGTCGTGCTCCACGGGAGCTCTCCGGATCCTTTTAAGGGGAGTATCTGGCCCGTATATGCTCTGGTTCCAGACTTCTTCCACGGGGCGACAATTTCTGGAGCCTGGAAGCGAAGGCCCCGGGATAGAGGTTCGTAGTGATAGTCCTGCAAAGAGAGCGATCCCGTCATCGAGCGTTCGTGAGGCATTGCTGACTCCGGAATACTCGCACGATTCGGCTTGGGCGCGTATTTGACAGCTGCACGTGGGCCGCTCTAATCACATTGATGGTGGTTTAATGACGCTAATGTATTGTCTGTTGTTCAGGTAGCCTGAAAGGCCTGCCGCCAACTAAAGAGGAATGAGTTTATTATTTATTTTACTATGCGTCCTCCGCTTGTGTTCATTGCTGTTCGTCCATCCGTTTGTCCAATGTAGTACGTGTTTCGGAGTTCCAATCTTCGCGGAGTTGCTCAGCCGAGCAGGCAGCTGACGTCGAGACTTATTGTTCCGCCGCGTCGGCTTATCGTGATCGCGGCTGCCGACTCCGTGGGCTTCGACGTTGCATTAGCTGCGCTCTATCCGTGTCACGCAGCCGCACAAAATGTGATTATGTTGTGATTAGCGAGGGCTATACATCTTCCATTGATAAGTCGAGGCGACGCTGCGAAAACTGTTGTGAGCGAGGAATACGAAGCAACTTCGGAAAACATACGGACGCATCGCACAGGCCTCGAAGCGCATAGAGACTCACTAGGCATCATTCCGGCCACGGAGAAATCTGAGTTGTATTCTTCCCGATGGAGCTCGATCCCTGAAGATTCACCTCATATTAATTCAACGTTCTCTTTAATTGCGGGAGTCGGTATAATCAGAGCATTTGTGCGGCGAAAGAAGACGGTGCGGCTGAATTGTATCGGACGAAAAAAATAAAACATTGAATTATGCCTCCCTAATTAATCAGATACCAAGATGCGATTCGAGTAAGGACCGAGGCTCGGGACGGAATGAATGTGAGAGACGCTCCCCAGCTCAATGAGTTGCAAGAAGATTTTTTCGCCTCTGAAATAGTGATTCAACCCGATCACTCGATGCACGGTGGAATTCTCATCCTGAAAAAGCGTCCTTTGCATGGATCGAATCGACCAAAGCTCAGATTTCATGAGGCAGGAGAGGAACTGTGCTGCCAGGCAACCTCTCTCCTCTCCCTGAGAATGTCAGCGATGACCGGGAAATCTTCATCTTCTGATTGATACCTTGCAGAGCTCAAAGCATGAGAGACACCGAGGGTACCCAACTCCTCAGGTTCCAGACTATCTCTCAGCGGAAAGAAATGAAAAACTTGGAAGACCGTCCGAAGAGCTCAAACTATCTTCTCAGCTCTTCAAGTCCGTGACTTGTGACGATTGACAGTTGGAACTTCGACTTGTCGTCGACGGAGAATCCCTCCTTAAAGTCACGATCGTTCCGCTGCATGGTTGGAGCAATCTCCAGTGCGGACTCACAAGGAACACTCTTTCGACTCTTTTCGAAGTCAGTTCCCTGCGTATCTCTGCCGGGAAAGTGGGACTCGCAGAATCATGTGAAGCTGACATGTAGGTGTGAAGTTTCCTCGGAGCTTCTTCCGTTACAGCGAAACACGCCTCCAAAAATAAATCTCTTGCTCGCTCGGTCGCTCGCACGAAGAGACACCACCCATGTCGCAGGCTGTCTTCTTCGCTTGCCTGCCTGGCTGACTGGTTGGCTGCTCGCTGTTGATAGAGGATAAATTGTATTTGAAAAATTAACATTGTAACTCTCGCCGGGTCTTTGTCGCTTTATTTCTCTCTCTCGAAAACTCTCGGTCTGGGCCTACCTCTCGTACACTATGTACGGCAGCGTTTGTCTGAGAAGCTCCTGCTGAGCGAAAATTGCTTGTATCGATCGACGGCCATCCAGACATGGCTTTCGCTAGCCCGCTCGCCAGTTCCGATCCCGCTGAGCGAACGAGCTTCGCGCTCTATGTCCAAATATCGGCGGCTTTGCATTCACAGCTCCAAAGTAGGAATCACCCCCTCGATTATGAGAGATAACCTAATGGCCGGGCTGAGGCTCCCCAGGGTTCGCAACCCGAAGGTTACGCAGCAGATCAGTGACCGTACTTGATAGTCGTCCCTGCCCGAAATCTGCGAACGCCGGAGATATTTCCGAAGTATTTCACCTCCGATCGCATGTCGACGGGAGAATAACTGGCTAGGAATTTAGCGACTCCCGAGAGTCGACGTTCACGATCTCTCGTAGAACGGAGCGGGGAATTGAGCTCGATTTTCGTTAATACTTTGCTCCGAAGGTCGGAACTTCCACCGAGCGGAGTTAGAGCAATTTTTCACTTCGCTACAAAGAACGTGTCGCACGCCATACTCTCTTCCTCTTGTAACTAGTTCGTTGGACCGTATCAAATAATTAGGTAGGTTGTTGCAGCGCGCTATACTGACATTGTTTCCTCCACCTCGAGGATGTATGTAGTGTGCCTCAGGTGCTCCATTCAGGACTTGAATAGGAATTTCCGCCCTCTCGAAACTCGGTTCGGAGGGAATCATAGACACGATGGTTTCAAAAGTCATGAATCGATGATGATCGCAAATTGCAAACCCAGGTCGGTCGCATACCGAGGAAGCTCATTGAGCTGAAGAGGACCCATCCGGACCCAGGTTTCCACGACTTGGTCGACGCTCCAATCGAAGACGCTTCTGTATAGTATCGGAAATGCTTTAGTATTGTATCATGCGGGAATCGCGGTGTTTTTACACGGGACTAGCACCGTCCCAGGCGACGCGTGACGGCCTCCGCTTCTCAGGTGTTTGAGAGTGGACGCGAGCCCTAGATGTTAGATCAACCTTAATGACTCTTGATTATCATGTTAATATCGATCCCGGCTCGAGGAGATCGCAAGTCGTCACAGACACTCTGAAAACTCGATGAGTTCCAGGAGTTCGAGGGTTTCGGCCAGAGTTCCTCCATTGAGCATCGAGATTTGGGAACGTTGGCAGCTCCGGCCCCACCCCGACAGAGACCGATGCTGTGTCGAATTCGGAGGTCGTATTCCGATCCGTTGTTGTCCGAGGCAAGGCTTTCGATTGGGTGATTGTCGTAAGCAGACCAGGCGAAGGGGCAGCCGGTCGATCCACTCTCGAGAGACGGAGATTGGCGTTTGGAAGAGAGGTGCCGATGGGTGGCCGCCGTGCTGTTAATTCCCTCCATGGTGACAACGTTGATCGAACACGATCAGCCCGTAATTCTATTGATCACGCGACAAAATCATCCGTTGCGACGTGTCGCTAACATTGTTACTTCATTCAATCAGTGCCGGAACGAATTACCGACGTCGCGCCGATTAAACAATTTGCAGACGAATAACTTCGTTCCGACTCGGAGAACAAATACTTTGGTGCGACTGACCGCTGCGCTCTGGCGACGACCGAGTCCCCGTATAGAAGACGAGTCGGCTCGATCTGGAGGAATTGCTCTCAACTCCTCTTGAGGGAGAAATTTCGAAAAAGCAAGCTTCGAACCTCCGAGAATCCTTGACTCTAGGAATAAATCATCCTGGGGGCCCTATGGGTTCCGAGGTTAGAACGATAGCGCTTATTTAATTCTTAATTCCTGGCATGTATTTGGGAGTATTTGCTGGAGGGGGTGGCTCCAACCTCTTGGCGCGGATCATCGTAGGGCAAGTCGACGGAAAGGTTGCAATTCTCAAGGATAGAACCGAGAATTCTTTCGAATTACGATTCTCGATCCTGCAAGGACGATCAACCGGCGTCTCGGAGTCGATGCCAGGGAGGGATTGCCATCACATCCGTCTGATCTGGTGATCAGCTCGCCATGGGGCCTGTCTGGTCGTTCGTTCGGTGTGCTACTGCTCCATGAGGAATATCATTCGTTCGGGACGGCGGAGCCTCAGCCAAGCATTTTGGCAAAATACCGAAATACGGGTGGTTAGGAGCCTTGCAAATCCCTCTCTGCTGAATCACCGCAAAACAGAAGCGCATCATTTCTAGGAAGTCTGACCTACGAAGGCATGAAATCGGAAAGACCTTCTTTGCATGCCTGTGTTCGCTTTTTATTCAAGATCCCTCAACTGGTTTCGTTCGGCATATATCGAACACAACCGATCGACTTCAATTCACAAACATCCGCGCGATACTCCGGTGCTGAAGTCAGAGCGTCATGTTTCTCGGCTTCGATTAGAGTTTCATAACAAGCATGTACACTTAATGTATATTCACAATTTGTAAAAGGAGGCTCTCGGCGGAACCTATCGCCGACACGACGGATTTATGCGCTCCACGAAGTCGCGAAATCATTAGCTGCGCTCAGTAATCGTCATTCTGCGCGTTATCAAAGAGAGAATATTGCAAGAGACCGCGTTCACGCAGCGTTCTGATTCTTCGGTCCTCTTGATCCTTCTTCGCTCTGAGATCTTCTCGCTGAATTTCGATGATTTCATCTATTCCGACTTTCTGGAGTCCGACCAAGCCCTCGCGGCTCTCCTCATATTCACCGAGGAGAACGACGTTCTCGCCTCGCACAATGAAGACTCCTGGAAGGATAGAGGGACCGAAAGTTATCTCCAATGGATTGGCAGGAGCCCCGGAATCCCGTTCGAAAGGGGATGCCTTCAATGAGAGAAGATCCGCATAGAGGGGCTGTTTTATCATTGCCGCCTTCTCTCTGCGAAATGATGACCACTGGATGTCGGTCATCACTTGTATATTATTACAACACTATTACTTGAAATCACCCCATGATGCGCAGTCATAATTATTCATGATCATCTATGATCATAATTGAAGGAGGAAGAAGAGGAATTATTCACGGCACTTTCCGCCCATTTTTCGGCTATGTACGAGGGATCGCCAGAAAATACCGAATCCCTTATCCTCGCGCTCCTAAGGAAGCTTCAGCGACGATCAAGGTGTTGGTGTCAGGCCAGCTACTACGCTCTCGAACCATGAGTACGCGACGGCCGGGCCCGGCCGTGAATTCCAGGCGATTTCTCTAGTAGCATTCATCGATCGGTCCCAGAATATGACCCTGGCCAGAGTCAGCCACTGAGGTCACTCTTGGACAAGGACTCTCAGGTTTCTTTGGTTTGAATTCAGTGTAACTAATATATCGATTGAGCTCTCGCTAATGAAGGCTGGACTTCGAACGAGATTCCATCGTCCCTTCCGCAGAGGTGGGATGTCGACGTCTAGCTTTCACATCGGGCGTATTCGATTTAGGGGAGCGAAGAGCGGCTCTGCTGCATCTCACGCATGGACTTCCGATTCTCCATCTGCATGGCGAGATCCGGTAGTGGCTTCAGTTTAGGGGGAAGTCTCCGAATGAAATACCCGAGCAAGCGCTTCCGATGTTATGGAGACCCCGAGATATGGCGTGGACCTACCTCTTGGAATGTCACCGTATTTCTTCCCTACGTGTATTCTCTCAATAGTTCGATGGAGCACCAAATTCGCGAATTGATCGATAGATCGAAGGATACCGATCAGAACTCGGCCATCGCGGAGTAGTACCATCAAGGTTTTATCCAAGTCTTCAAGAAGAGAAACTGTTCCTGGCAAGTATACATTGCTGCCGAGCGACGATCCTGACGGCGCTTCCATCCCTGGAATTCCGGAAGATTTCTATGAACCCTAATATTTCGACAGGCACTCGAGGTGGCGTTGAACAAGCAAATCGACCGAAGATTCTCGCAATAGCTGAAGCCCGGGGAGATTTCAATTCAGACTACTGATCGCAAATCGAGAAATCGCTGCGCACAAAGATCCATGAACTCACTCGATTTTTTTCGCTGAGCGGCAGAAGATGTACTTTAATCAGACACTCTTGACACCGGCCTCCAAATACGTCGGTATAGCCTCCTCCGCGGAACTAGGCAGCTATTGAAACGTTTCTCCCCGAGAAGAAGCGAATGATGGGTCCTCCGGTTCGAACCTTTGTTATTGTTTATGTGGCTCGGAGAGAGAAGACCGCGAGGATTGCTGGTGTCTGACGAGTTAAAAATCTGACTCGTAGGGTCGTGTGTCGGGAACGTGGCACGGCCGTTCCGATGTCGTGAGACGCCGTAATAATTAAGCGTACTCTCTGAGCGAGGACCGAGCCCCCCCCTCACTAGTTGCAGGAGAACGGAGAATAGGGCCTATATGGTAGAGAGAGGGATCCTCTTAGTGCGGGAAAGCGAAGAGAATGATGCTCGTGATCTTTCATAGGACTTCGAGTGAGACCGGGCGGTTGCCTCAAATCATATCCGCGAAAAACCAGAATGCATTGAAGGTTGAATCAAATCAAATTGAAGGTAGCATCGGGTTTAGGATTCCGCAGTAGCCCGTTCGATTCTCCGCATCCGTCATGCAGCGACGCGGTATATATCGACCGAACGACCGAGTATCGTGAGTCAGCCACTGCAACGTCCAGCTTTCCGGCCTCCTCCCCGTGAGATTCCTGGTGGCTACGCGAGGCGGAACGGAGGCTAGGCGGAGAGGCATACCCACGAGAGGGAATTGGACCACGGCTGCGGAAAGATCCGGATGATTGAATGCTGGGCGTAAGCACCGATCGCATCGCATTCCGACCCATTCGGATAGAGAGGAGCAGGACATGGACGCGAGGTATGCGAAGCGTCTTATTCCTCGCTCGCTGGTCGGCGCATTTCAGTAATCATATTCTTCTAGCAATAGCTTTCCTGCATCGAGAACGACGAAGCGGATGCAGGACGATGTGGGTTCCTCCGAGATCGCCGAGAAGTCCCGAAGCACCAGGAGACACGAGTCCTTTCCGAATCGAACGCTGAAACTTACTCAAAAGATTCGCCTTATCTTCTGGCACTGAGAAGAAAAAATACGCAAGCCGCATCCCGGGGAAGTTTAGAAGTCGGCCTCTGCCTCATCAACTGAGGCGAACTACAATTGTCTAGACGCCGAACCATTGTGCGAGAAAAAGATGCTTCCGTCTGCCAGGCTCGGGGTCGTGCTCGCTTCGATCGTGTGTCTTATCGTCAGCGCAGTTCTACTCATCTCATACTGGATTCGAATCGAGCAAATGTAGGTTGCGTTCGAGGCCTCGCTGGAAAGTGAAAATTCTGCTCGAACTTCATTTTTCAGGCGCAATTTCCCCATTCTCAGACGTTACGCGGTCTTGATCGATGTCGGGCTCACAGAGCACGTACACGTAGCTGTCTTCACGTTCAGGAACGCCTCGAGTATTCTCCTATTGGACTCCCTGTCGGAATTCGCTGTGAAGGACCACTGGTTCACCTTCCAGGATCCTGGAGTTTTCGCGTGAGGAGCGTTCTCAGTCCGACTGCGGATGATTCCTATCGCACCCTAAGCATTTCAGAGATATGGAAGGAGAGATAATCATTTATTCGAGGTCCCAGACAGGCATGCCTTGGATGAGGCGGGGTCAATCGTGCCCCGTGGAGAGCGTGAGCGGACGCCTTTGAAACTTTACACTAAATTCAAACCCTCCCCAAGTTTATCTCGGAGGACCGTCAAATTTCTCGCTGGCTACGGGTACTCAGAGAATCATGGATCGCTGATCGTGAATTGTAGGAAGGTAGACGGTGAGACATGCCGTGTTCTTTATTTTTGCTCGAGCCGCGAGGTCAGCGGGATTTCAAGGTGCACGTTTCCCTACGCGATGAACCAAAGAATTCTTTCCATACAGTCGCCTTGAGCTGGCTCAGCTTGATGGGTCTACTGCAGAAAAACATTTTCGACACCCGATCGGTGGCGATACTCTACCACGACGACCGGGGCGCCGAATTCGGTCACCTTGCGTTCGTTGAGGAAACCTGTAATTTGACCCTTATCCCGATGACGTCACCTTACGGGGACTTGTGCCTCACTGCCAAGTCAACCTTAATCAGGTGGAGAGACCGATCGGAACGAGCCTGGATTGACGCCTGTGTTCACGGTACGGTTCGCGTACCAAACCTCGACATCGAGCCCGATGAGGAGCGAAAGCCAGAGCTCTGGCGCTGTGCCACCATCTCTTCGGAGTATACGAGAAACATATGTGAGGATATCGGCTTCATACCTCCTCATGTGCATGACATATACGTTTTGGAAAGAGCTCTCCAAGCCGCGAGTATACTGGATCTCAATGGTAGAGAGATAGAGCTCTCGCTCACCAATATCAGGCCGAAGTTCGAAGAAGGTGAGGAATGCTCCGAGTCGCACCCGACTCGGAGCCTAGGGATCTGCATGTGACAGATCCCTATCACATGCATATTCAAAGAGATAACTCTGGCTGACTGAGTAGTGAAATTCTGCAGTGTGTCGCAAGAAGCCACGCCCTGGTGGTGTTTTCGATTGCGCCAACCTGGCTTTCCTGGGTAACTTGATCGAGTGCTTGGTGATTGACGGGAAGGCGAGATTGGTCGTAAGTTGATTGTATGCAGTAATTGTATGCAGCGTGGGTATGGTGACGATCGGAAAGGGAAGCTCCGGGCATTGGAGATTTTCAACTTTCCTCCACCAATCGACGGATAGTGCTCAATTTCGGAGCTTTAGCACTTAGCTTGGACATAATTAAGCAACTCATCTACTCGATGGCACGATCGATACATGATGATGGTTGAAGCATGCTGCCTGGACATCAGGAACGAGTAGCCTGTCTTCCGAATTGCTTTGCTACAAATTCCAGGTTCCTGGAGAATACGGTGGTCACAGAATCGACATGTTGCAAGGCGCAGCGTTACAAGCAGTTTTCAGAATAAATCGCATACTCTGATGCAACTCTTTTTCCCCCCCCCACTCGGACGTCCGATCCTCCCCCGTGGGCTTGGAGGTCTCAGCTATGGGTGGGCTTTCAGCACGGAATTATTCTCCTCAGGAACCTCAAGTCATGCTGCTGCTCCTGAAGACTCATCACAGAGAATGGCTCAAGAAAAGTGTGAGAAACCATGGCCATCGGCCTCGGCCTTGCGGATTTCGATGGACCCTCTGAGGAGGGGCCCCGATTCCCGCTCATTTTTCTCCAAGGTGCAGCGTCCGGGGGCTTCTGCAAGCACTCCGAGATGAACACCGCAGCACCCCCGCCCCCTCTCCATCAGGGAGTCCTCGCAATCGGCCGACTGCCTGCCTCGGAGGCGCATTCCGGAGTCACCCGACGGGATGCAGCTCTTCGGTCGGAATGTTGGCCATCTGGACCGTGCCAGCTCGACGCAGATCGACAGCGATTCTTCCGGACACGGAGCCGGCTGATTGAGCTGGCGATCTCGCAGCTTTCGAACTGGTCAAGCTTTTTTTGAGTTTTTTTTCTTTTTTTTCGGGCTGATCCTCGCAGCCAAGCTCTAACGTCCC